TGCAGAAACACAGGCGTAGCAATCGGTTTAGGGTGAAATGCAAAACAACTTAAAATTTTGTAGCCTCTTTCACTCGTTTACACTGATCACTGCCAATTGAACCAGTATACAAATCATTGTGCAACTTCATGCTGTTTCATCCAAACCCCACCTTGAACTGTCCCTTGGTTTATTGCTTTGGAGCGCACACTCGTAACAGCCATTGTTAATGCATCACAAAAATATGAAGAAACACAAACTGAAGAACGTCTAACGCTTTTTCCAAGCTTTCCCAATTTCAGTGTTTTACTTTTGAGTCAGCCAGGACAAGCCTTAAATGTACAATTGAAATATTTCTCACAACAATAACACAAAGATACAGGCCATAGCCAGTTTCCCAAACTGACAAGTTGCATGATAAGAGTTGTTTAGTTTGTATGGGAGATACACAATATTTCTTGACACGGAGGGAAAGGACCAATTCTAAGGTGTCCTTGTTCTTGCTTCACCAAATATTCAACAACAAAATAAAAATCCTTCTCAATCTGATACCAAACTTCTGCTAGCAGGTCACTGTGCACCGCAGTGATCTACTTTTAACCCGATTAACTTTCTGCTGTGGCAGAATTGGGTTGTGTGCACAACTCTACTTGGGGACTTAACCTCGATCCAACTGTATATCCGAAGAGACAAGTGTGATTTTGGAGACCTCTTGTAACACGCCAACTATTTCCCAAAGCTAAGAATCTATCACTATTAATACCATCTGTCATTGAAATGATCTTGATCTAATTTTCAAAACCATGTTGACACATTTAGAAGTTTGACACAACGTATTTGAAAGGAATGTGTTGGCAAAACTCTAATCGATTTTTGATGATTTGGAGGGTGATTTTTTGACTAGATATCATCTTCAGAGCAAACTGATGGGCTTTAAATAATTATAGATACAAATAAAACTAACTGACCTCAATGTTTCAACATCTTAACGGAAGTGGGACATAACTTGGACACGTATTGGCAAAAGTTTGAAGGGGAATGTTCGGTTATATTTGTTCAGGTTTTAAGGAAATCATTTGGAATTATATTAAAATATGTATAAAATATACAACATTTGTAACGCAATAACATAAAAACCCTTCATTTAAGCCTATTGTATTCATAAATTCTATTTTTGGTTTAAAAGTTGAGAAATTTAAAGCTACACTTAAAAGCTGTAAAATCGTGGTAAATAGTTTTAATTGTTGAAAAAAGTCAAATGAACACTTTGACGCAACATTGTGTACCTCCACTTTTAAACAACTTGAACCAAATCTGGGTACTTTTGGATGTGGCCTGTACCTCTGTGCTACCAGTCAATGCACAGTAACCTAAAGGAGAAAAGACAAATCTTAAAGAGACACTGTTAATCACACTCAAACCATTTACAGAGAGAAGGGGGACAGAGGAAAGAAAAATAGAAAGGGCTTACTTACAAAAATACTTAACTTTCTACATACGGTAAAAACACATACTATGTAGTTCAGGATAAATGCAGTATTTATGTCTAAAACAAGGTAAAGAAAACTTACTACTACTGTTTAAGGCTTATGGTTAAAGTATCGTATAATACAAAATATGTTAATGCTAAAATTTGATTAACTAATGCAGTACATCATGTTAAATTCCAATGACAAACTATTCTGGGTATTTCCCCAAAAGAGTAAAAGCCGGGTTGTATTTTAAGGAAGCGTTAATATACAGTATGTTATGGGTCAGTTTCTATTAAGGACAAACGTAGAAGAGTGAGTGTGCCACAACAGGCACAGTCTGACACCAACACTGCCAACAGCAGCGGAGGTCTGATTCCCACTGAGGCCAGTAGTGCTGAATATATCAACACGTCATTTATTCATGATACATTTTTGAAAATGACTTGAAAAAAAAAAAACTTTAAATTGTGAAAAAGCCCCATGCATAAACTGTCTGTTCTTTAATTTTTATGTTATTTAAAAAATGTCAAAAACTACAAAAAAGCCTTTGCTTGTTTATTATTTTGCAACAAAGGCTGGACAATGACAATGAATGCACGTTGTCTCCCAACACGGTTGTCAAGGACAGACCAAAGACGCCATAGGTGTAAAATGAGGACACTACGTCTGACACCAAGCAAAAATATCTAATCTATCACAGAGGCTAACTATTTCATTTTCTGAATTCTGAAGTAGTTATTTTTAATTTGTATATTTTACAACCGTTTAACCTTTTTCAAAAATTAATGCCTTTCAAAAATAAATGCAAGTAGTTATTTTTAATTTGTATATTTTCCAACCGTTTAACCTTTTTAAAAAATTAATGCCTTTTTATTTTATTTTATTAGACATTTTGTACCATACAAATAGTTCTTGATTATTAAATGTAAAAATAATTTTTAAAAAAAGTGGCGTAAAAAAATATTTTTCTCTTTGGGCCAGAATAGTCTCTCATAAGATTTAAGATGTTAACATGTAAATAGAGTAGGGAAAAAAAAGGATCAGCTTTTACCTCGGGGCCTCTGCTTCTCCGCATCATAGATCATTACCACCTCTGTGACCTTGAATGGGACAAAAGGAAACAGTGGCTCCATTTAGAAAATCAGACAGGGCCCCGTTTATATATGTATATATTATATATATATATTTTATATTTATTATATATAATTTATATTCTTTATTTAAGAAATTGAAACAATCTTATCCCATCTTGATAAATTTGACATCGCAACATTAACCCTGTTCAATCTAAGAGTACATCCAATGAAGCAGGTTAAAGGACGATAAAATAGCAACTTATATAATGCGACTCAGCGATACTCACCACTCCAAATCTATTGAAATAGTCCCTGAGTTCAGGCTCGCCACAGTTATGGGGGATTCCACCTACAAATATCTTCTTTGATTTATTGCTATCAGCTTTGCTGCCCTTCTGAAAGAAAAGGAAGCGTGTGAATTTCAGTGTGTGCGTGCGTGTGTGTGTGTGTGTGTGTGAGGCGACTGCTCTGAGAGGGAGGCACTTAGCCATCATCTATTCAGACAGTGCAGAAGAAATTGGGTTCTCCTCTTGCCCCAGGGCATAATTCTGAACATGTCATGTCAATGCAAACACTGGTCTCCACAGATTTTAAACATGGTTTCCTACATTTATTCTGATGCTTCCTATTTAATAGAGATAGAGAGTGAAGCTGGTCATGGTTTACAACCATTTTTAGACAGACGGTACGATTTATATGCTAGTAAATCATATATGAGCGTTTCGGAAGCAGGAGAAAGAGCTCATTTATTAAAGCCTCTGAGATGCACAGAAAAATGTACCTAAAGTCATCAAATCAAAATCCCACGTTGACATGAAAATATTATTCTGTCTTTTATAAATTAAACATAATCTTCCATAAAACAGAATTAATAGTAAAGAGGAAGATTCTACATACCCAGCCCTCTTTGGTTCGAGACTTTTCGGGCTGCATTCCCCTAGGAGTGCATGGCTTAGGATCAATCTGACAGGAGAAATGTAGAGAAAAGATATTATTTTAGATTAATTGCGACTGCTTTCAATTTTCCTCTTAACAGAATATTAGTAATATAGTAATTCAGCACTAAGGAGCAACACAGCTTTTTTTCCATCAATGTCAACAAAGGAGACAAAATGTCATAAAAGTAAAGGTGGATTAATACATTCATGCGTGGAATGTGACCGGCACAGAGCAGCTGCTGATTTGAATGTTAACAGGTACTTCTTGTTGGGCAAATATTAGTGCCATGACAGGCAAAAAACAGTATTACTCCTAATTTCTTCTTTGAAAAGCATGTAGCCTCTGAATATTGTCCCTTTTTCACATGAAGCTTAGGCAAATCCTTGAGGTTAATGAATGTAAATATATCTTTGTATTTTGAGTGGAAATACTTACAGTTCTACCATCCAGATTATGTGGCTTCGTCTCTAGCACTGTTCGTACACAATTGGGGTCTTTGAATTTGACAAAGCCGAAGCCTCGCGACTGATTTGTGGTTTTATCCTTCATGATGACACAGTCTACGACTTCCCCATATTGTGAGAAGTAGTTACACAGCTTCTCTGAGAAGAGAAGGAAGAGAAGGAACATAAAAGATAAGCCTTATAGGAAAAGCACAAGCAATATTCAATAGAAAACCTGTCGACAAACGTTTGTACCATTTTCTTTACAAAATGCCCAGGGAACGGTGTGGCCACAGACCTCGATCTTGTCTGACATTATGGAGACTGTTTTAGTTTGAGGGGTTTTTTTGCCAATATTTTAAAACACTTTCAGGTCATGTGACAATGTTAAAGGGCAATGACCCAATGTCATCATAAATAGCACCAAACCAGTCACTGTAACACCCACACACACCCACACACGCCCATTGAGAAGAGCAAGTTAGAACAAAGAGGAGTCACATTGGAGTTATCGTAATTGCTTCTCTTGAAGCCTCTGGGCATTGGCTGAGAAACAAGCACAGAGGAACACAGCATTGTAGCTGAGTTTCACACTGCTGTTATGCAGACTAACACGTACCATTAAACAAAATCTTCAGATAAACTCTGGGCAGCTTTTTAATTGCCGACCAAGTGTAACGTACAATGGCTTTTGTCAAATATACACAAGATTATATGTTTAATTAAGATGTTTTTTTATTAGTTATTAGCTATATATTTTCAGTAGTTACAGAATTCAAATTACTTTATAAAACATTTCATCATGAAACATTTACTTAAGCTTTACCAAGGCTGTTGCCCTGGGTCCCTTAATAAGAAAGTTGACATTATTTTACACTGCATACAAAACGAAATATCTCACAAAAGAGGAGATTTTTTTTTGGTACTGATAATTTAAGAGTTTGATTAATAAAAAAAATTCTAACAAACAAACACCCATCTACCCAACAAATGTGAAATAATGTGGTAGACCATACAGGGTTTAGATTCATGAAAACAGATGTATTGTGTTCTATAGGTGAAGAGATAGAACACAGTTGTTAAGAGTCTAATTGGTTGTGGTGTGTAAATAAGGCATGTTTAAGGATCGGATGTTAGCCTGGGTAATAAAACACCTCAACCTATGACCATGCTGCTCTTCCTAGCATCAGTGCTACTATCTGTTGTGCACATACAAGCGTGTCAAGACTCTGTTTTTCCCCCCAGTCACCATAAAAATTAAGGGAGAGCTGCTCAGATATAATTTTTATTTTTATGACTAAAATAACTTGACTACTGAATAATAACTTGATTCTGGGAAATGAGACATTACATCCCTGTATAATGGAGTTGTTCAAATTTTATTTGCACTTGTGCACACTATTACTTGCACACAGTCTTAGTCACTAATGCAATCACTAAAACAATCACACTTTTCCTTGCTGACACTTGTTTGCCAAAGTACTCAGTACACTTTAAAAAACCCAATAATTCCACAGTAACGATATTTTTTGCCTCAAAGTTGTGCTTGTGGCCCACTTCAAACTTGAGCAATGCTTTTAAACGTGAGGAGTATGGTGAGGTGGTTAATGAAGCATTTTGTGCTATCAGCAAAACATGGACACATTTGTTAAAGGAGAAAGATGCCCCTGGAGTCCAGAGCAGAAACATTTCACACACCAGAAACTTCACTGTGATACAGACTGTTTAAAAACAGGAGTTGTTTTCACATCTCTAATCTTATTTTTGCATTTTTAAATACAGTAAATATACTACTAGTGCAACAGAAACATTTCCCATCTGCTACTCGTGGCATTTTGCAATGTTACTGTTGAAAAAAATATGTGATATAGTCTTTAATTAATTTCATTTTCTTTTATTTTTTAAATAGTGCTGCTCAAAGTGATTTAAAAAACTGGTTAACAGTACTACTAAAATCTCTTAGCACTGTTTAAGCCATGCATTGGGATTAGCACCATAGCTGAATGAAGTCAATAGCGTACATTACATTTAACCTAATCACTAGAGTAAATTAGACAACACAAGTTACACTGGTAATTCTGACTACCTGCCAAATCATCAGGTTTATTCTGACTTAAGCTCCTATTAAAGCTCCGACTTCCAAAACTATGCAGCGACAACAGCCATAATTATCTTTCGGTTTATTCACACTGTATAAGCATCATTAATGGTTGAATAATTGTATCCTACCTTGTGTTGTACTCCAGTCCAATCCACCCACAAAAAGTTTCCTTAAAAAGGCAAAAAAAAATACACAGGTCAGTCGCTGACTGATCATCAAGACAAAACCAACAATAAGCAACACTGCAATGTCTTATTCAAAAGGCATAAACAAGCAATGTATATATATAAAATGCTGTCTGTCCAGATTGAAGTCACAGAGAAGACGATTAACATTTTCACATCTGTGATACAGCTACACCTGCACCTAAACAGCAAACCCCACTGAAAGGACACAACATGAATCATTGCTGTCACCAAAGCATATGCAGCATGTGGAGAAAAAGACTAATGGGCGAGTATAAAAATATCCTCGCAGGATTATCCTGTCCCAAAAATCACAGTTAATGGCAGTTCTTAAATATTCTTTGAAATAAACAAAGAACACTAAAAGCTAAAAAACAACACTGATTTGGTCAAAAACCCAAAAGCAGCATTTTATTGTTTTTGGTTACACAGGGTAGTTCAATTAATGATTATTTTATATATATATATATATATATATACACACACACACACAATTGTTGTTTTGTATATTTTAGAAATAATTATAAAACAGTTTCATGCGAAACTCATTTAGTAGCACTGCATTGAAAAAACCTGTGTGTTGCCTATTTACTACTAACTACTTCGGATAAATGATCTGGATGACTGAGAACCTAGTAAGACAAAAGAAACAAGTGCATTTAACTCGACGACTATAATGTGTAAATACTTTATAGATTCGTTTAACAAACACGGATCCAGCTAGAGTTCCCTGTGGTTATATATATACGTGGTGCTGGACAGTGGTGCTGGACAGTGAGCGTCCAGCATCGGTGCCTCCACCACTGTCCCACTCGTGTTTCCAGCTGCAGCGGAGCAGAGGAGAACGGTTCCCTGCGAGCTGCTCCAACTTTACCAGCAGTTTAAATGCAGCACTTTCACGCCGGCTAAAAATACTTTACACTTTTTTCAAAAGAACGACTGAAACGCTGGAATGATAAATGTGAAGACTGTTCCCTGTAGTGGAGGGTCAGTTCGTACGAGGATGCTCCGTCCTCCGGCAGTGCCCGCTAAATGTCCTCGCAGTAACCGAGTACAGAAGAGGAGACTGTGGCTTCGGTGGTAAACGTCAGCTATGCTAGTCCAACTGCTTCCAGCTTTGCGACAACAACATTCAGGTAAGTACCAACGCTTTAGCTCTTTGCTTTGTTAAATAATGTGACAACACTAAGGACACATATGTCATTCTACGGTGTAGACGTTCAAACCAAAAACAGAGTTTTTTTGCGGCTACGTTCACTTTTTTAAGTCGTCTTTCCACGGGGCTAGCGCTTAGCTTAGCCTGCTAGCCCGTGTTAGCCGTAAAATGACAGCTTGAACAGAGAGGACGTTCACTTTTTTTAAAAACAGAGTTTTTTACGATTAAAATTGTCCGCCGTGCAGGGCAATACAGAGCGTTTCTTACCCGATTTCATCTCCGACTAAGTTGTTGTTCATTTCTGAGGCTGGTGCGGCAGAGAGCGGGAGCTGTGAGCGTCTTGCGGCTTCTGTGCTGCCCCTGTCAGACTGAGAGCGGAGGAAGGTCACTCCGCTTTTTGGTTCAAACTCTTCTGCGCAATGACGACGCTGCTGGGGGTTCATTAGTCTTTAAAGGGACAGGACATCTTTGCGGATGTCCTGTCCCTCTGACCACTGCAGCTAATAATGCCTGAAGTACATTAATGTACCCCGTGTAATAAAACCCCAATAAAATAATGAAGGGAAGGGATTATATTTACAGAATAATAGCAGAAAGTACTACAGTGTTTAAGTGCATATTTCTACTGCCTAAGTTGTAGATAAACTTAGCTAAATATATTTTCCACCCACGAAAAAGAAGCATAGGGTGTATTGAGTTGAGTAATATTTTCCACCCACGAAAAAGAAGCATCGGGTGTATTGAGAGTCAAAAAAAAAGTTGGTGATGAAATACATTGCTTGCCTTGTTGGGCAGTGTGTTTTTAAACGTCCCCATGTCATCTTGTGGACAAATTGTGCAAAAAATACTTCACTTTTTTTCGTTCTTTTTCTATCACAGCACACTTCACCTCAATGCAACCTGCAAACAGGCTTTTGCAAGCAAGGACTTCATAGCAAACATTAGCTTCAATGGTCCATGTAGGCAAACATGGTACATGAAATCAAGAAACACCATCTATGATGGTCAAAAGGTCATTTCTGTTCCTTCAAAAACTAAATTAATTTAAAAAATTGCAACTTACTGTGAATAATAAATGCAGAGCCTTTAATTATACAATTATTGAATTGTATCTCACATGTATAATAGTCGTAATTGTCCCAATTATTATATTTTTATGAACACAGATTGTTCTGTTAAGAAATGGATTTCAAAGGCACCCCTGAGCCATAATTCTAAGGTTTAAACTTATTTACATCCTTCATCAACATATTATTGAATAGCCCCAACTCTTTCTTCTGTTTCAACAATAGCTGCTTTTATGTCATATGAAACTTAGTGACAAAATGTTCTGCCAGCAGGGAGAAACTGTCACATTAGTTTGAGAAGTAGGCCATTCTCTGTAGGCTCATACTATACGTGAGCATTTACAGCACACACTCTATTGAAGCTGATTTCCTTTGCTTGTTAGAGCCATTGGGAAAACAACCGCGAATGTAAACGTACTGTGTCAAAACTGTGAGCAGGGTGAGGTTTGCAACATATGCAAGGTCACGTGTCTAACCTACTCTATGACATTATCAAAGAACTAATTAACAACAAAAATAGAAATACAAGGGGATTTGATTTGGGTAATATCCCAAAAGATTTCCTTGCGATCCCATGGGGAATCACGAGCATACAAATTCAATTAATTTTTTTTCCTCAGTGTATTGCTTTGCTAGTATAGATTCCTATTTTTTTCTCCCTTCAAAATTATTTTAAAAGACTAATTAAAGCCAAACAGTAAAATAATGTAACCCCCAGTTAAATATCATTACATGGATTTGCTATTAAAATGATTCCAATGACCAACAGATTATAAGATAATGCATACATAGGATGCAGGTTTTCCACTTTAAATGACAGTCTCATTCAGACTCTTATCTGACATGGGGATGTGGTTCAGATCAATAATGGAACCAAAAGCCTACACTCAGGCCTATGACCTAGAAGCAAGGTTGTCATGAAAGTTAATCTTACGATATCTGAAGCATTTGTCATGATGCCAAAACAAATGGCACACAGAGAACAGCGCCCCCTTCCTGCAATACAGTGAAACAGAAGGTCACCTTTCCAATTTAACCCATGACAACAAAGACATAAGTATGTGGCATTACCATTAAGATGAATTTTTTGGTTTTCATCACGGATTGACAAAGTGAAGGGTCTGCGCTGTGTTATGACGTTAACAATGACAATAACAACACATTGTGTAATAACTCTACCAAATCTTGTGTAATAACTCTACCAAATCTTATACAGAATAATTAGGATTATAATCTCTGGCGTGGAATGTGGAAATAAATTCTGGAATTTAATCAGTAATAAATTGCACATACATTAATATACCATTGCATTACCTTAATTGTATTGGATACATCTCTTGAAAATTATTTGACCTATAATAGGGCACAGACTGTCATGGTGCACACTCCAAATTTAGAAAGTTTAGAGTTTAAATGTTTGTTTGTCTATATATGTGGCCACGTAATGGACTGGTGAACTGGACATTTTGTACTCTACCCTCACTTGATGACTGCTGGGACTGGCTCCAACTCCACCTGCAATCCTGAGGAGGACAAAGCAGTAGAACAATAGTAATTATATAAATACATGTACCATGACTCAGTGTGACAGTCAGCTTAAAATAGAAAGATTAAACATCAATCTGTAGTTTGATAATTAACTTACTGCAAATCGCTTGAGAAATTATTTGTAAGTAGACATAATGGAAAATATATTTTGAGAAACAAACACTGCTCAAATGGCTGCTCAATACATTTTCTCTGCTGCAACGTCTCATAATCTTTTCAAACTGCTCACATGGCACAACTGAAAGCAGTGAATTGGAGCAGTGCCACACCTGGTATTTAAATCTACATGCAAAATTTTTGATGTTAAATGCAGTTCTTCACTTCAGTAAAACGTAATAGCCTGAGTATGTAGTGTTGAAATTAAAATACACGATATCTATACACATACTGATTTTAGCTTCAACTTCCTTTTTTTTGTTTGTTTAAATATGTAAAAATACAATGAGCATAAAACCCTTGAGTTGATGCTCCATTAAATACTGGTGAGTTGTACAGTGTGTACTCCTTCACCAAGGACTGATAAGTTTTGCCCCAGGAATGTGAAAGAAATTCTACTTTATCTGCCAAGTAACCAATGGAACCACCTCATGTGATTTAGTACTAACTGCCACTAGAGGGCTGAAAAGCACAAGTATTTTCAGTTGACGTTGTTATGCAGACTGACAAAGTTCAAGGACCTCTGCACTGACACACAAGAAAATGAAGAGTTGGTTTTCAGGCCGGTAGAAAAGAAGTCAACGCTCGTCCCTGATATCTGGAAGTCACCTTTATTTCGGTTCTGATGGAGAACTGCTGAGGACATCGATACTCTGATCAATATCTGTAGCTAAACAGTGAAAGAGCAAAGGACACCTGTGATGAAAAGCATTGCGTAAATATTTATTGAGCTATTATTAAAATTAAGATATGATTAAAATGTGTCTCAAAAAACTTCAAATTTTAGAACCAAGATGGAATAAAATTAACAAAGACAAGGTGATAAACATAAGAAGTTGTTGAAGAAAGCCTAAGGATTTTGGTTTCTGTTATTTCAGTTTTTACATACGGTGTCAAAAGGACCAGAGATACTTTATAAGAAAGTCATCAGGAGAAGAAAAGTATATGATAATGGTGCAGCACATGTACAAAAACAACAAGAAGGTGATGATGTGTGCAGTCCGCGTGACAGATGGGATTATAATATGAATGGGGTTACGCTGGGGAGCAGCTCTGAACTCCTTTTTGTTTGAGATTCTGGTGAACAGGTTGTGGCAAGGGAGCAGCAAAAAGAAGGCCAAAAACACAAACTATAACATGAACGACAGACAACACACTTAGTTGGCACACAAAGCTATTTAAAACAGTCTAACCTGCAAAAATGTCTGGTGTGTGGATATTTCTGCCTCATCTCAATGCAATAAAAAGGTTGAATATATTACTAAAAAAAGGTTTGCATACTGCTAGCATAAGTCATATGCAAACTTTAAATTGACTATAATGTTAAATCAACACTTCTGGAAACCATTCTCAGCATAAATCAACATAAAAAAAAAAACTTTATTCTCAGCATAAATCAACATAAAAAAACTTAAAAAAGACGGCGTTGTTTTCTAGGTCAGGCGGCATTTGTTTTTAGCAACTTGCACTGCCAACTAGGTGTTTTCATTAAACTCAGCTGTACGATATGCACAGCAATTAACTCTGAAGATGTTCTGCACTCACCAAACTTCAAGAAATATATATAATCAAGAAGTAAAAAACAAAAGCAGCGAACAAATAACCACCCTTAGTTTATACTTTTAGGAAGAAAGTCTTAAAAAAATAGCCTTTATATTTTTGGTATTTATCAAGACCCAAACAAGAAGTTTTAGTACCATTGTACATACTGCTGCTTTTCAGTTTGAAAGAAGATCAGTTGAAGGGGAAAAAAAATCTGACATTTGATGAAAACCTTATCGAGAAGAAGCCCCACAAAAATCTTTAAACCTTTCCAGTTAATCCCTCGCCGATTATGCAAATGCAACATTGGCAAATGCACAGATCTGAACAACAAACTCTATAGACTTGGTTCACCTCAGCTGTTCATTCCAACACTAAGAGTGACGAAAGGCGCAGACCTCTCACTCTGCTACAAACTCTAGAAATAAGAAATAAAACAATAAGCTTATATAAAATTATAATACTACATGATAATATGATAATAATTTTATGTAAATAGCATCAACTTTGTTTGTGTTAGGGGCATGTAAAAATTCCTGTATGGGGCCCAAAATTCCTAGCAGTATACACTGTGTATATATGTGTGTATATATATATTTATACGTTTGTGTGTTTATAATAAGAAATAAGATTTCTGAATTCATTTTCCGTGTTCTGAGAAAAAGCCCTTTCACAGTCTCTAACTATATGTTACAGTCAAATACACACTATTGGTCTTTTCGTGTCACAGTTAATAAGTTAGTGAGTGAGTGACGCATCCTGTCCACAGAGGATCTCTGACGCCGCTCAACCCTCACCTCTTCTTGATACGTTTGACCGTAGTAAAATCTCGCGTCGTCAGCGCTTCTGACCCCCATATAAACCACCGCCTGAAGGCTTTCGGCCTCTTCTGTCGGCCAAACCGTTACAAGGAACTTAACAGCACTGACTACCGACACCACCAACAAAAATAAAAGCAAAATGACAACCGCAGCAGAACCCATTTTCTCCAAGGGAGAAGACTGCAAAGCCTCCTGGCATGACGCTAGCGCCGGCTATAATGAGACCGACACTCACCTGGAGATCATGGGAAAGCCCGTGATGGAGCGTTGGGAGACCCCGTACATGCACTCGCTCGCCACGGTCGCTGCCTCAAAAGGTAAAAAAAATAAAAGCTGCCCTTTTTAACGCGTTACCTACACCCATTATCGGACAAACCGGATGTCACGTTCGCAAATTATTATTTTTAAGACCTCTTCAGATTCAGTTGAAGAACAACATACAATTGACAGTAACTATTTAAAGACCAATAAAAAGTTTCACGGACATATATTAGTATACAAATAAAGTAAAAGCACATAAATAAAAATATAAAACGAGTCAGCATGTAGGACCCAGCTGTGCTGCATGTTTTGCTGAAGGTAAATTGTTAATTTTACGATTGCACTTTTTTCACAACATTCACCCGTGCTATGCATTTTCAAAATGCTTATTGTGCGTTTGTATCATAACGTCAAGGTGCGCTGCTGCAAAGTTTTGTACTGTAGATTCTGTTTAGGACACGTGTGAAGTGTGTGAGGGGCAATGGTGCAGCTGTCACACCAAAGACGTCTGCAGGGGGCAAAGAACCCATCTGCTCATCTTACTAGGGGATAGACTGACACACACACACACATATATATATACACACACACACACTTGTGCAGCTTTTCATTTTAGAACACTGCAGTGACTTTCACTCTTTTTCAGTATTGAATCGTGTCCTTTCCTAGAAATAACTGTAACACTGCCAAATATGGTCCTAAATAGGCTACAAATTCAAGTACACACACTTTACACAGTCTGTGTGGGCAGACAAAGTGGCCTGTGGACCAAAGACTAGCAGTACTAATAGTACATGTACCTGAACAACTACAGAGATACAACACTGTAATTAGGTCAATGTATGTGTAAATCAGAAATTAGATGGATATCAAAAAATCACATTCTTCATTATAATCTTATTATATTACAAGTCAGTTCACTCAAATTTGGGATGTGGTATTTTCTGGCTTTAATACAGTATTGTAATAGTAATAGTTATAGTAGTAATAGTAAAATTCCCAGCTTTGAAGTTCAGGAGTCTAATGAGGGATGCAATTTTTTATATATCAGTTTGTTGAATTAACTTTAATGCCCAGCTGGTAAAACTAGTTTAGAAAGATAACCTTCATTTCTTTCCTGTTTTGTTGCATTTCAAGAACATCATTTTTTTAAATCACAGTGTGAAAACCACAATAAAAGTTTAAAAAACTTGTCTTAAAAGTAATCCATTGCTATCACTGAGAATTGTTTTCTAACATAAGCACACCCAGTCAGAGGCTCAGAATCACAGTACTAGCAGTTAGACTTTCTGACATTTAAATCCTGGAAACCTAAATCAGTTTTATATTTGCTGTCTGGCAGGTGGTCGGGTTCTGGAGATCGGTTTTGGCATGGCCATTGCTGCTACAAAAGTCGAGTCTTTCCTATTGAAGAGCACTGGATCATTGAGTGCAACGACGGTGTCTTTGCCAGACTGGAGAACTGGGCCAAGTCTCAGCCCCACAAGGTCAGCTGACCCTTTACACATAAAACACTACCAATACAAACACTGCCAATGTGGCTCTGTGAGCGTCACAATTACTGAGATTCCAGTCCATGTAGGAAAGAATCCTAATGACTGAAGTTGAATTCTATGTTTCTTTAGGTCGTTCCTCTTAAGGGTCTTTGGGAGAACGTTGTGGCCACTCTGCCTGACAACCACTTTGACGGTAAGAATTTGGGCCCCACATTAAGTGGGATTCCGCAGAGAACAGCAAATTAATCAGGCTAACTCAAATGCCAAAAAAACAAACAAAAAAAACCAAAACACTATTTTACAATTGGACACTTTCACTGATTTAAGAGCTAATCCTCAATGTGCAGAGGAGCCAGTTAACCACTAGGTGGCAATACAAATACAAATGTGTAACAGGTACAAACACCTCAAAACATTTACACATGACATAATTTCATAACGAATCCGTACAAATACACAGGGAGTGGATTTACCTTGATATTAACTGACGTGGTTGTTCCTCCACACAGGTATCCTGTACGACACGTACCCTCTGTCAGAAGACACATGGCACACTCACCAGTTCAACTTCATTGAGGTAGGTGATTGGAACCAACAACATTCTGTATCAAAGCTGTAAAAAAAAGAAAAGAAAAATATTTAAGCAGAATAACCTGCAAGGCTCAAAATGATGTTTAACCTCTAGGTTTTTTTCTTGTGTTAAACCTCTCACCCATAAACACACCAGGGTCACGCTCACAGGCTGCTGAAACCCGGCGGTGTCCTCACCTACTGCAACCTGACTTCCTGGGGGGAGCTGCTCAAGAGCAAATACGACAACATTGAAAAGATGTTTGAGGTTGGTTGATGTTAGTTATTCATCAAAGTTAATAATGATTGATAAGCTGTAATTAGCACTTATAGCAGGAACGTTCCAGTGTTTACTAATATATGTGCAGGAAATAAGAGTAGTGTTTAAGGCAAGTGCGAAACTTAAGAAAAAATATGATAATACACAGCTGCAGTGCCACAACATTACCACCCACTAGGTCAAATATGCACCAGTAAATATTGCTATCCTGATCACATGGAAAACATAAAAAAACAGATAGTTGATGTTACATTCCTCATAAACTGAAAAACATTTAAAATCACTAACAAAATTGGTTTGTTTTAGGACAATCCTGTACCTTGAAGAGTTGGCTTGAATGCTTGTTGAATTATGCGTTGTGATTATTTCAAGGCCTCTGATACAACTCTGTTAATGATTTCCAGGAGACCCAGGTTTCTCATCTACTTAAAGCCGGTTTTAAGAAGGAGAAGATTAGCACCACCACCATGGACATTGTACCCCCCAGTGAATGCAAATACTATTCCTTCAATAAGATGATCACCCCCACCATCACCAAAGACTAAAGTCCTGAGAACTGTAGCAATCTTTTTTTATAGTTCTACGTGCCCTTTGACCCAACACTGACCTCATCTGTCAATAAACCCAAGTCTTTCCCATATCTGTGTGGCTGTTGTTTCTTGCATTCTATTTCAGAGGTTTATGTTAATACACTGACATAAGAGAAAAAAAAAACATAACACCCAGTACCATTCACATTATGCATGAGCTGTATTTAAAAAGAGCAGTCTGTACTGTGTTGCTGTGAATTAATGACAATTGATCATGAGTTATCAATATAAAATCAACATTCCTAAATATGACAAAAAAACTTGGTTTTATAGATGACTTTAAAAAATGATGAAATTATAAATATGGAAAAAAAACATTTTCGCAGATGCAGATGGTCCTTTGGAAAATAAAAATGTTCTTTGTTGGTGAAACTCAGTTGCATAAAAAAATTATGTTGCTCTTGATTTTTTGACTAACAGAATGCATACGACACTGAGATGCAGTGCAATGCATTGTTTCTTAGCCCTTTTTAGTGTTTTGATGTTTCTTTTAATGTCCCTGCGTCACTAAAAAGTCTGGAGAGGCAGCGACATGTTCTAATTTATGGCAGTAGATTACAGAGCATGTTATCTGTACACGTGGGTAAAAGTTACCACCTGGTCAGGACACATTAATCATTAGGATGGGTGATGCAACACTCAGCTGCAGTATAGTGGGAAACTACAGCAGCTGGCTGAGCATGTGACTTATATTTTAGGAAGTTGGCCAACACTGTGATACAAAGAAAACAAAGCAGGCAAGATGCTGGGAGTGCAGCAGTCCATCAATCAGTCTACAGCTGGTTTCAGCTCAGCAAGATTTCTTTAGGTCATTAGAATTATGGTTGAATAAAAAAAGAGGCAGGTGCAGAATAGGTAACACTTTTATAACAACTTATTATTCCCTTATTATTATCAGTAATAAAGAGTTGTTTCCTATTGTTGGTTTTACAGTATCTTTAATTAGTTGTAAGTTTTAATATTGACATCATACAGATGTGTGTTGGTTTTTAACACAACAAAATCCCCCTCAAAAATAAAATATATAATAAAAATATATAATTATATTAATAAATTAACCCAAAGGCGAGAGATATAAAAGTCAACCATCGTTTCTCTTTTTACGTCAATGTACTTGTAAAAAAAATGTAAAAAAACAAAACTGCATTAACATCACCAGTTCTTCAAGTGTAGTCGAACGCGTAACTGACCACGGGAGCCACCGTGTGGTTAAAACCAGACTATGGCAAAACATTCAAAGTTAGACCTTTTCACTTAAAACAGCGGCTTCATCGGTCACAACTAAATTTGTCTTTAATATTTAACCCACATTTAAAAGACTGTTTCTGGGGAGAAGAAGAGGTTTGTATTTGTGTGCTTTCTACTTACTCAAGTTCTCAGTGGACTTGGCTTCTCATCACGAAGACTGTCGTGGCAGTTGTACCTAATGAAGAGGCTGGTAAGTGTGTTCCACCAGGCAGGTGGAAAACAGAAATAAAAGTCTTTCATGAAGTTGGTACAGTTGACTCAACAGCAGAGGAGGCAACAGAGGATGTGACGGAGGCAATGATATAATTACTGATGAAAATGTTAAAGTAACAGCTGTTGTGTTTGGTTAGAAAGAAGTGCCTCAGGCCACTCAGTAAATTAGAACAGAAATTTTATTTTCATCAGTTCGGCAGATTTACGTAAAAGAGAAGCAGGACGCCGAATTAAATCTGGAATACTACATTTATACAGAAGACACAAGAGTACACATGAAACAGCTACTTCCGATACCAGAGCAGAATTTTCCTCTCACGTTTGATTTTCCTCTGCAGCTGTAAGGTTCCGTAGAGAAGAGCCTCTGCAGTGGGGGGGCAACCTGGAAACAAGGACAGGGAAATGTTGCATAACACTTAAACATCTTATTAATACTACATTATATTCAATATAATTAATTTAATTTACAATTACAAATGATGTTGTATTTACACAAGTTTACCTGGAACATAGATGTCCACTGGTACGATTCTGTCACAGCCCCTGACCACAGAGTAGGAGTAGTGGTAGTAGCCTCCTCCATTAGCACAGCTAGCAAATTAACATGAATGTTTAGGTACCAAAATTAACATTTACTAGCACCACTACAGCCTTTAAACCTTAAATAGGGAAATAAAATCAGCTCATACGCAGGTGAAAAGAAAAAGGATGTAACTACTAACTCACCTTCCCATGGAAATGACGTATCTGGGCTCAGGCATCTGGTCATACACCTGTTGGAGAGAAGGATTTTTCTTTTCAGATAGCAAAAAACTCAGAGATCCGCGCACGTAAAGTCAGCTCACAATCCAAACAGGGAAACACTATTAGACAATGTTCCCTGGTGCAAAACAATAAAAGTTGGTGTCAACTAACGTCTTCAGCTTCTCAGGCATTCTTTCTGGCATCTTGGGAATGTGTAAACGGAGCAGGGCTGGAAAAGTGTTGGATTTATGTGCTGCTTCGTGCAATCAGTCACAGCAATGAGAAATCTAATGTGCAGTTTGATACATTTTAGACTGAGAGGAAATTTCTATTATTAAACCTACAATATTATTGGTGCAGAGACTGTTGCACTTCACACATTTGTGTGTACACTTGTGTGTACATTTATAATGAGACAACATTAAAGAGATTCTGCTGAGAAAAGTTACTTTATGACAGAGTGCTGCGCTTTGTCTGGTGATACCACACAACAAGGCTGCATGTGTTAAATGATTTAAAAAAAACCTTAAGTATCTTTTAAAAAATAAAGGGTTGTTGTTGTTGTTGTTTATGGTTGTAATAAAAAGCAGGAAAAGGTGTGAAGAAACCAGCATTAAGTATGGAAAACCACTGCAGGGAACCTCGGCTCTCTCCCTGGAGAGCACATCTGCTCTGTGTTTGTGTGTTCAGTGATGTGGTAAGAGTTTGACTCTGTGGTAAGCAAAAAGAATGGCGCTATCCCACCGTCACTGCATTCACTACTCCCTGTGCCTCAGTAGACAGGAGAAATGAGAGTTGAACCTGGCCTCTTCCAACAGAGGCTTCACAGAACATTTCAGACATCATTTATACTGTAGGAGCACATGGTTTTGTTTCTCTCACCTTTCTTAGAGCTGGGGCCATCTTATTGGTCAGCGTCCCCGCCACAATCATGACATCAGTCTGCCGGGGACTCGCTCTAAATACCACTCCGAAGCGATCCATGTCATAACGGGGTGCCGCCATATGCATCATCTCTACGGCACAGCAAGCCAGCCCAAAGGTCATAGGCCACAGAGAGCTCTGAGGGGAGAGTACAGCAGTTATAAGAGAGATGGAAAAGAAAGAAAGAAAAAGAATCACTCACTTGATACTGTGGAGGGAATTAGGTTTTGGCAATACTTTGTGTTTTGATTTATTTATGACAGCAGTCAATTCTTGGTGAGACAGATTACAGTTGTTTACTAGTGAAGATCTCCAGAATATATCGAGTCCTTTTATAGGATTGTCAGACTTTCCTAAATAAACACAGCGACTCCACACATCCCTGTCCTTCACTCTAGTTGCTGGTGTAAAAAAAATGTAAGTGGAAAAAGGCTTATATTTTATTTGAAATGTCTGGAAAAATAAGGAATAAGCACATAAATTTCACAACTCCATGAGAGAACATGGTCTCCTATAAGAGCAGATGGTGGTAATTAGACGTTTGACTACAAAGACAGAAAACAGATTCTGTGTTGGCTCGTCTGTTGGATCGTGTCACTTGTTAAACACAGAGAGTCTTACTCCAGGAGCATGTCACAGCTGCACATGCATTCCAGTTAAAAAAGGTTGGTAACGTGATCTGCATGTCGGAGCTTTAAAACTACATTTGAAAAGTAAATGTTGCTCTTTTCATATCATCCGCTTGGCTAAGTCGCCGGTCGACCACAGTAGTCCCTACAGCAGCGTCACTTACATAAAGACAAGAACACAATATTTGTCAGTTTGGTTCACACCGCTGACTTGACTCACCCTGCGAGCCCAGTTGACCAGATCATCAATCTTGGTGATAACATACTCCCCCTTGCTTGCGAGTGATGTTGCACCTACTGCCGTTGACAAGCTCTTCTCTCTCACTGGAACCACACTGCAAAAGAAAAAGGAAAGTAGATTTACTCTGCCATGTTTACCGTGCATCTGACATTTATTAAGAAAACTACACTGGGGTGGCTCTGATGTACCGACCTTGTGCACTTGTTTTCACTTTTAGCATTGTTGAACAGACTCCTCTGTTGAAGAGCAAATACTGAAATAGGTCTGTGGGACAGAGAAGAATGAATATTAACTAAATGATAACTAATTATTCTAAAAGCCCCCAAAGGAGTGAGTCATTGGGTAGAATACAGAGGATACATTTCCTGGTAAGTAGAAATTTAAAAACATCCTACAAGGGTAGAGATGTTCAAATCTCAAATAAAATTTAATAACTTAAATAAATCTGTGCAGAGAGTGACAATACAGTTCAATCTCTTAACATCACCCAGTATAATGTTTGTATGTGTTGTATTGTCCCTTTTTAGTGCAGCTTGAATAATGGGTGGAGCAGGCAGTAGTTTTGTATTTTGTCCTTTTGACTTTCACTAAGAAGATACAAACATGGGAGGCTTTACCACACTACCAATTCGCACAAGAGTCAAAAAAATAATCTGGTTTCCAAGCATATAAGCACCGTGGAAAATATATAAGTGGCAAAGAGGAAGAAAGCAGGAGTTATTAAAGTAGAATTATTGAGGGATCTTACCTTGATGAAAAGGAGCCAAGCATGGCCAGGCGAGGGGCTGCAAAATACAAACCAAAAGTGAACTAATGTGCAATAAATATGTAGATCTGTGAGGTCGATTTTTGTTTTGCTTTTCTTTCCCGTGTGACCGTGTACAAACCCCGTATTTTATTATGTTGTTATGTTTGTAATCTATTTTGTTTACATTTCTGTTGGTCTGCACTGTTTAGTAAGGAAGCCCTACTTTTCTAACCAGCGTTCTCCTTTCAAGAGTTCCTCCAGTAGTAGTTTAGTTTAAAATGCTCCCATTGTAAGTCGCTCTGGATAAAAGTATCTTCTAAGTGCATCAATGTAAGGTAATGTAAATATAAAGGCTGGCGATGGTGTAAGCTACCGTGATTAGCTGCCGTGCTAACGCAAGCTAGGCAAGGTCAGTTTGAAGATTCAAAAAACTTTACACAGCCCGGTTGTTCACGCAGACATTACACATGACCGTGCACGTCTGTCTGTATAGCAGTTAAAGACACAGATAGTATAAGTGAACACTTGACAATGTTTACGAAATGTGGGTCGTTTAGGATAAAAACACCCCTTACCGACCAACGCCGCCATCTTTGGGAATATGGTGACGTCAAACTGTTTCCGGGTTCCGGGCATGCGTCTTCTTCTTCGTAATTACAGTCCTTGCTGTGTCGTCCTCTAGTGTTACTTAATGCACTTGCCTTTAAAATGTAGTCGATCTATTCTTAGCACTCAAACCAGACGTAGGAAACAGGCGCGACCTGTGATTTTATAACCTCTTTATGACTTTGTTGGTTTCCTCAGTATCTAAGCTATTGCACTGTTTTTTTAAATTATGTTTTTATAAAAAAAACAACAACAGGTGTTTTTTAAATTATGTTTTTATAAAAAAACAACAACAGGTAAATATATATGTATATCTCTGTGAATAATTACAGGTCAGGTTTTAACACAGTGTCGGGGGGATCTAAATCTGGACCTTTGATGGAAGTCACAGAAAAAATATTGAAAAGTTTTGCAGAGTATTCAGGCTTCCACATTCTTAGTTTCAAAGTCCTGAGTCAAACCTTTGAGACTGATGATCTAATCTGACGGGGAGCCAATACTAACACTTGCCGCATGCTCACCTGTCAGACCAGTTAAAATAAGAAGTAAACAAAACTGAGTTTTGTGTGCTTAAGTTACGTTTAAATTCCAATTTTTATGGATCAAAATCCAAAGATGAAGGAAGTAGAAAAATACACTCTTAATTTACTTGCAAAACAAATCTGATCATATGTTGTATTTAAATTAAATATCCAAATTTTAAATATCTGGTGGTTCTAAAAACATAGAGTAATCCAGTTAAAATAAATTAATGGGATTCACATGCACGTACACATAGATATCAATATTTAGGCAAAAGAAGACAAAAGATATCTAAAAGGTTAGCCAGATTTAGCTAAATTAATAAATAAAAGCTAGAAATAACTTAAAAAATGTAAAAAAATAAAAGTCAGAAATTGCTTAAAGTTTTCTGTTAAAATGGAGCCAGAAACTCAATTTAAAAAGTTGTAAAATAAAGTAATTAAAAGTTACAACTAACTAAATAAGAAAAAGTAACGTGAGCATAAATACAGAAAAAAATAAAATCCATCTACTGTAAGAGCCACGCTGGCCGCCGAACCTGACTTCAGACATAGCAAATAATTTGTGTTTAATTATAGACATCTGAGAGTCTTATTTGTCTTGACTTCTGTCACTCTGCCCTATGGTTGGACCTTGTGTTTGTGTCTCACAAAGTGTGCGAGCGGCATCAGCAGCAGGGCGGAGATGGGGAGCGACCAGAGAACATGGAGAGCGTGTTGTCACATAATGATAGACCCACGCTCTGCAGCATCTCCAGGAATAGCCGCACAGTCGAGGCAAAGGCAGCAACTGGTCCAAACAAATGGCCAAGATGAAAAGACTCTCTCTTTAAACAAATGGCTTTAATTTTCCTTCATCATGTACAGCACAATCTGTCAAGGCAGTCAAAATCATAATAAAGTCTGACAACTCAAGTTGCTTTGCTTGTGGTTTTTTTTAAGGTCAATCCAAATTTAGCCATATACTGTACATAGCTGAGGCTTTAAGTACTCAGGGTTCAAAAAATTAAATATAGACACTGGAATAGCTCATAAAGGACACGTGTTTGGAGACTACAGCTTTGTTCAAAAGCTTCAGACACCACTAGTGGTCAAAAAGCTCTTATATTACAGATAATAAGCATGAATCCACATTAAAAAAAAAAAAAAGTCCTGCAGAGGAGGAGCGAAACAACAAGGAGAGCCGTCACAAACACAGCAGCAGTTTATAGTGGCAGCGTGTGGAGCTGTGCTGAACTGCAGACCACAGGAATGGACTATTTTTGGAAAGATCTCCTCCTTCTGAAAGAAGAAAGCGCAGCTCGTCCTTTTCACTGAGAGTCCAGGTCATCTGTGGCGAGGAAGTCTGGTTTGCCACTTGGGCTCTGTGATGTCTCCACTGACCAGGAAGAGGGGGTGACCTGATTATAGAGGGCGTCCTGGGAGCCAAAAAGAGGCTCTTTGAGATTCAGGTTGTACATAAGGAACAGATTGAGAGCCACCACGGCCAGGAGGGTGAAGACGGTCAGGCCGGAGCCGAAGGCTCGCCACGAGCTGCAGACGTTCAGGCTGATCCAGTAAACAAGTCTGTGGAGGATGAAAGAAACCAGAAGAGGAGATCTGATCAAACCCGGCGTTCGCTTTGAAGATTTTATCAGACCAGTTTAAGCAGAACAAATGAAGCCAGTTTGACTAACCTTCAGGAAATCCTAGAAATGAGAAACCTGGTGGAGATTAACATGTACAATAATAACCTCAGCTTGGGCTGCTCTGTAGCTTCAATGGAACTTTAAAGAACGGGAATGAAACAAATGCCCAGTCAGGGGTCATTGACCATCTTTTGAAGAGCCCTGTTCTAGAGAAATGCTTACGGTTGGGGAAAAACAGCCAGTAGGGGGCAGTAATGCAAATCGAAGAAAGTGCAACCTTTGTAATGCTAAAAAAGAGAAGAACTGAGGAGGTTGAACTCAGACAAGAGGTTTCACTGTTTTGTCCACATTCATAATCACAATAATAACAATGCATTCGTTTAGAAAGGTTATGTTCAGTTAGTTTAAAAAAAACTACACTGAAACCAAAACATATAGTTTACTTTAGGTGCCTAAAAACTCTGAATCCATCTGTGCTTTACTGCTGCTCGAGTACAGAACTGAGACTGACTGGAAAAACAGAAGGTCTGGAGGATCTGAGTTCATCTGTACTTGGTCAAATCTGCATCTACCATGTACTGCCAAACTTTCTGGGCCGTGCTAATGACAGAGGCCGGGTTTGTTTTTAGCCTTGAGAGCAGTTTAGCTGCACCAACACAAATATGCCAACAGTTTGGCTGAAACAATCCGACCTCTTCTGAGCCCTGTTCCACAAAAACACCCCTCACCTTCCGAAGATGAACACGGCCACCACTATGGGCACCACCTTCAGCTGGTCTTGAGGGAGCAGAGCAGCCATGACCACCAGGTTAAGGACGTAGAGGAGGAGCTGCTCCATGGACCTTCTGATGAAATGCTGCTGCAGCACTTGGCTTCTGGAGAACGGCTCCTGCGGGCTGAAGGAGCCGGTGCAGAACTGGCAGAGTGAGCCCACGAGCATCGCTGTGAGGGATGAAACAGAAAAAAGTTCAAGGACTGAGTCTGAGGCATTTTTCAAAGGCAACATCGAGCCTTCAGCTTCTTGCTGTTGTTGATTTGATCTGTCAGCCTACTTTGTTTTTCATTTGAATAAAACAACAGCCAGCAGACACAGCCACATGTAAATACCACCACACTGTCGTCAGCTACACAAATTATTGTCTGGATGAACTGTGGTAGCAGGTCAGGCACCTGCCCTCTGACTCTGGTCCTGGTTGCCCAGGTGGGAAAGAGATTAAAGTGTTCTGAAACAATTAGGTCACGGCCTGGGAGAGAAGACACGGAGCCAACCTCTTATTGTAGTTTCCATTTAAAGCTCTGTGCAGAAAGAAGGAAATTATGCTTCACTCCAGAGGCCGGAGGAGACGTCTGCTGCTCGCAGGCTGAAGGAGCAGAAAATTAAAGAGGACAGGAGACGTTTGGAGGCCAGGCAGCCAGACGAACGCAATCCTCTCCTAATCTTATCTTTCATTTTTTTGGAGCAACACGCGGTTTTAAAAGACGCCTTTCAGCAAGACAGGACGGAACTAAAAATGAATTCAAGAAATCTCGTTTGTTGTTGATGCCAATTAATTCAGAGAAAAACTTGAACCTTTCAGGTAAAGAGTATTAATAGGATAAATTCTAGTATCCAGACAACCAGTCAGTCCAACATGAGCTGACTCTGTTTAAGGTGAACTGTATTACTTATTGATTACTGCGGTTTTAGTCGTTGCCAAATTGCTTTGTGAGAACTTTAAGTTTCAAGTTTTCAAAAATCCTATTTAGACTTACACTTACACTTACACTCTGAATTGGAACACATTGTTTACACACAGTAACCTAGCAACCACAGTCTACTCTATGGTTGTGACACTGTGCTATTGTTACATTTGGTAACAAGTTACGAAACAGTCAATTCTAAAGTGAAATCTCAGGGTCATCAGATCAAGGTTCTGCAAATGAGACACATAAATCCAAGGCCTGTGAAAATGTGGCACTGATGGATCTGGAATGTGTATTTTTGCAAATATTGTTTGCAGTTTTCCTCCAGTACTTGATCATTATTAATGGAGAGTATCAATTTAGAAGTTATTTAGTTCTCCACGAGCATTTCTAGCTACCTCACCTTCACATCATCTCACTCTGAATTTACACTTGAGAAAACGTCCAATCAGCACTTCACTGATCAGAGACGGTGCTGCTCTGGTACGATCCCCTCCTCAAAGATATCACTGTACCAGACCAACATCAAATGACACAGTGTGCAGCCATAGGAACCACGGCATAACAATGACACGATGGAAACTAGTGATGACGGCACAATTCAATCAGGGTTTCCATTCATTTGTAAGAGTTTTGACACTTTCTGGTCAGTTTGTTTGACTTAAATGTCCATAAAAAGACAGATCACTTCGGCTCCTTCCTTTAACCATCACCACACTGTGTATTACATCATGGTATTAGTAAACTTCCCTTTGTGGTTCTGGCAAACATGATAGAATTTGCCTCCGTTTTTTGTTTTTTTAAAACATGAACTAGAATCTCAGAGATTTACAGTTTGGAGCTAATGTCAGACGTCTGTGTTTGGAGTTTCGTACCAATCAGGATGGGGAGGGCTGCCACAACACAGCAGCAGAAGGTGAAAATGATGCGACTCGCTATGTCGGGGCAGTCGGGAGGTTTAATGGGAACGTAGAAATAGAGTGCATAGAGGATCCCAGCCGCACACAGAAGAGAGGCCAGGACGGAGAAGAAGGCGGGAACTCGTCCGCTGTGACAGCATTTACACTGGCAGCAGCGACAGCAGCAGCTTCGACCTCGACCTGCAGCCTCCTCTGAGGCCTCACAAGTCTCTTCCCGTCCGTCTGGGCTCCACACCGTCAGCTCCACGCTCTCTGGAGGCGGACCTATGAGAGGGCGAACCTCGTCCATTGTACAGTCCAGATTGGTGGATTCTGGACTCCATCTCTGCGTGTCTGTGCCATTGGGAAGGTCTCCCTGAGAGGCTGGGGTTGGAGTGCTGATGCAGTTTTCCGTAGCAGCGTCCAAGTTGAGCTGCGTGATGATGGGACTGGAAAGAGTTTGATCCAGTTCCCCCTCCTCTGTCTGATCCAGTCGAGGCTCTGTGAGGCCGTCACTGGGCTGCTGGTGGCAGGAGGCGGAGCCTGTGGAGACCAGAGAACATTTTAATAACACATTAGAAAAGCAGGCACGAGGAGGTTCAACTGCAGGTTCACAAACTCCGTCTTTGAGTGAGAAGGTTTTGGAGTTTTTACTAACGGACCCTTCAGTGGTGACGGACCTGACCCTGGTTAGATCACTGCCACTTCTAAAGGTTCAGACAACAACAACCAAACCTGAATATGAAACCAAAGCTGGTCGTAAACCGTGACTGCACTAATGTTTGTTTGGAAGTGTGTTGAAGGTGTGTGTGTGCTGACCTCCTGTTGAAGTGCTGTGGTCTAAACTTTTAACTTTTAACATATTAATTTGATACACAAATAACAGAGATAAAAATAATAATAGTTATTATTAGTTAACACAATTTTCTATAAAGGCTAAAGGTGCATTTTGAACATCCTGTGTCCCAGAGAAAGCATCAGCTCCAGCATCACACAGACAGATGAGGCTGCAGTAATGACTCACTCTTTGGCTGAAGTGCTGCTGCTGCTGCTGCTGCTGCTGCTGCTTTTTCAAGTGATCGTTGGGAGCCAGTGACAGAGTGGGAGGACGAGTGCAGCTCCTCCACCGAGGACTCTGGACTGTCTGACACTGGTGCCAGGGAGATCTGAGTGTCCAGGTCCAGGAAGGGAGAGAAGGAGAGCCTGGCCGGGTCTATGTCCTGGAGCTGGTTGATTATGTCACTGATGGACTCCTTCATGCTGTCCAGCTCCTTCACATTCTGCCGGTTGGTGGCCTGAAGCCCTGAGCTACTCATCGTCACAACCTGGAAAAAAGCAGGTGTGAAATCAGTTTTGAATACCAAAGCAGGAAACACAAGACATTTTGTGACTATGGAAAATCATCTATTTATATATCTGTCTGTCATTCAGTCTGTCTGTCCATCCATCCATCCATCCATCCATCCATGCTACTGTCCTGCAAATGGCTGCTGTATTGGTGTATGACTACAGCGTGCTAGTTCCTGACATTTGACATCTGACCTTTAAACTGTTAGTAAACACTGTGACTGTAGGGGTCACCGGTTCTTAAAGTGAGGTTGAAAACAAAAACATTGTATATAGATATAATTGGTTAAGAATTATATATAATTATATATATATATATATAACTAACAAATTACTTAGCTCTGAGGATTAAAATGTAGCAAACATCTTTAAAAAAAATAGTGGAGAAGATTACGCAAAGTTGGCCAAAAATGGTTAAAAGAACATAGCCCAGGAAAAAACAGTGTGATATCTTAAAAATATATAGTTAAAAATAAGCCATGGAAATGACAGACAAGCAATCTGAAATAAAATAAACAGAGAACTTGGACCACGAAACAACTGTCAGATAGCAGGTTAGCATATACCACTACAGCATAGAGTCCAATCAAAATGTTTGAAATATAGCTAAAAGTTGGCCATAAATGTATCCCGCTTAGCCAACCAGCTATGATAGCTAAAATGATCCAAAAATAGGCTAAAAGTTAGCTTTTGTAGTTAATGTTAGCAGACAGGTTTGATCAGAAATGATTGAATATCATTTCTGGTGGCACTTAATCATATTTAGTGTTGGAAAAAAAACCTGATGTTAAAAACATGAGTGTACCACGATTGGCCTCAGAGCCAGAGTTTGGACAATCAATCAACCAAATTAGGTTTAGCTCTGGACTCACATATAGAGAGATGTTATAACTGTCGAACCGAGACTGTGGGTTAAACTGTGTTAGTGTTAAAGTTCTCAACATTAAAATGCTCAGCTGACTGTGTTTAACCGGCACTAACTGCCCTGAGTTGAAGTCTCAGCGGTGACGCGCCTTTGTTGCTCCGCCGTTATTTGAACTTTCTGCTGTTTTATTTCCACACCATCCTCTCTCCACAACATGTGCCTTTTCCTTCGCCTCTTTTTCTTCTCTCTCTTCTGGCGCACTTCCAACTGTGGCGCACGCAAAAAAAAAAAGACTCCCTCCACACCGCGAGGACTTTACCATGTATAGAGAGCGCAATTAGGACGCGAGGATGTGGGAAAGCGCGCAGACTTTTAAGAGTGAAAAACGTGCTTTTTCAGACCCCGCTGAAAAACAGGCTGTCCTCCCGCTGCGAGGACAATCACTCCAAGAAGGGAAAAATGACCAGGTTTGGCTTTAAAGTAGAAGATCTGCGTGGAATAAACAGAAGGACTTCAATGGTTCCGATCAGAAAGTGCGCCAGAGCCAGGCGTAGAAATGTGTGCGTAAAAGTGGCCACAAGTGATTGTGGAGAGCAGATGTGATATTTGTGGCCATTCAGCAGACAAACACACACACACACGCAGTCACACACATACAGAAACACACAGTGAATTCATGTGAAGACAGCAGAGGAGCTGGAGATGGACTTACTTTAGTCGCAGGCTGCAGGAGTACTTTGGAGACTTTACTCTTCAGGGAGAAAAAAAAAACTTTTTTTTTTCCAACTTTTTACTCCGTCCTTCTCGCTCTTGTCTGCCCTCCCCCTCCGTTTGCTTTTTGTCTTCCAGGATCCTGAACTTCTGAATCAAATTTCAGCAGGGACAAAATACGAGACCTTTCCTCCGCCCACACCAGTTTTTTCTTTTTTTTTTCTTCCTGGTACCATGTCAAACACCATATGGAGCAAATAAACGCCGAGGAGCAGCGGCAGCAGCAGGAGGAGGAGGAGGAGGAGGAGAGGAGAGGAGGGGGAGGAGGAGGCACTGCACTTTCAGTTTACCTCCAGATTCAACATTACACTCACATCAACATGCGTTTTATATCCAAACAGCAAAGTAAACATTTACACTGGAGTCAAACAGCAGTGGAGCTGCTCACGTTCGAACCCGGGCTGATGCTGCTGGAATCATTTCCGCCCAGGATTTATGACCAAAACATCATTAAAACAATAAAAGCCTCCGATGATTTATTAACTTTTCATACTGCACATCTGCACAACGTGCCATAAAGGTGCGCAATGTCCACAGAGTCCTAGCACTTCCGTATCGTGTGTGCAGTAACCGGGTGGTCATCAATATTATGAATAATATCAATAAAAATCGTACTCAATTCTATTGACAAATAAACACTGCAGTTATGATTTCTGTTTTTTTTTTTCACTCCTGTCGGCCAGATAAAGCCTCAGGGTGGACCGCTGCTGATCAACGAGCCACATGTTTGACACCCTAGGTTTTAAAAAGCCTGTATATTAAGGAGATATATTTGTCCATTTTCTGTTTGATCCTTTAACTTTTCTAATTAAACTTCTTAATGTCTCATTTTTCAAATGTTTCGTTTCTCTAACTTACATCCAGTTCTTATTACACGACACCGAGTTGTGGAAGAAGAAACAACAAGTTTATCATAAATCAATCATGAAATGGTAAATTCATCATTTAGAATTCTAGAACGAGAGCAAAAGACTTAATAAGATACTGTAACTTAAAATTAGTTAAGTCCTAACCATCAGAACATCATCAAATCTGACCTGCAGTTCAGTTCTAAACAAGTGGACCAGTCAAAAAAAGGCGAACAGAATAAATGAGCTCCACTGTATCTGTTTATGTTTGGAGACGAACAAACCGGCACCTCCTAAAACTTCTCAACCTACTCAGACTGGTTTGTGCAGTTGATCTGCTTCGGAGACATTGGTGATGGACGACGGCCAGCTCACCTCATGGAGTCAGAGGTTTGATCAGGAACAACAGCAAACCTTAGGAGCTGTAAGGCAGGAGCACTAACCACCTCTCCATCACGTGGTCCTAAACTTAGCATATAATTAAAGTGAAACTCACATGTCGGAGTATTCTCGTTAACGGAACCCAGACAACAAGCATTGGTGGTTCAGTGGTAGAATTCTCGCCTGCCACGCGGGAGGCCCGGGTTCGATTCCCGGCCAATGCAAACTCTCATTTTGCTTCATTTCTCGAGGGATCGATAAACCTGACAGCAGCAAATTATTCTTTAAATTATTTTTCCTTGTTTACATTAGTTAGTTAGTTGTAAAATCAGCTGCTGAGGCCCGTGACAAAGACTTTTCCAGTTAAACTCCAGTAAATATTTGCTACTGAAGTGTTTACTCATCATCTAAACACATGTTGTGCTCTGGTCGTCAACATTCAGCCGACTCACAGGTCATTTGTTTTACCTGTCAGGAGACGTGTCACATCTCTGACCTTTAATGACTTCAGAATACGAGTTGTTCCTCCTCTTCCTCCTCTGTGTTTCTAATCAACCCCGGTGAACAGTGTGAAATCGTCTTATCATGTAGGTCGATACGGTGCATGATGATGATGATGATGATGATGATGACCCTGAGATAACAGACTCCACGTTGAACAGATCTTTTCCACTAGCTCGCCTGTGTGTTTACTTTCCTGCCGAACAGGAAACAACTTTGTTTTCACAGCAGTAGGATGTGCTTTTCTGTAGAACAGCGAAGGGTTAAAAACCCGGACGGCAGTGATGAACAACGTCAAATATGAAAAACTACTGTGTGATGACTTACACCAGAGGATCAGAGCAGTAGAGATCGGCTGAAATTATTTTATGAGTGATGTGGAGCTTTAGCTGCTGAATCACGATGAGCTCTGTGATGATATTAGCAGATGTTTATTTCAACACACCCTCCTCCTCCTCCACCTCCTTCACCTCAGCCAGATCTGCAGATTTAAATGACAAATGTCTGTTCACAGCTCACGTAGTTCCATCCTCACTCTGGCAGATCCAAAAAAGTAAAAAAAAAAACAAAAAAAAAACCACCTCCAAAACATGATTTCTTCCATTGTTATAATATGAACTACTTTATTTTGTTATATAAAAAAAATCATTCTCTATGACAGTCATTAGGAACATGACCAATAAATTAAAAAGAAAGTATTAACATATTTGAAGCTTTTTGGTGTGAATGACCACAAACAGCAGGGATCAGTTTGCTGCTCTGTGGAATGAGTCTGGGAGAAAAGAGGGCTTTGGGTGATGAACGACCAGCAGCATGTTTGAAATACCGATGCGGTGTCCTTTAAGTCGTCAAGCAGGACAGACACAGGGGGGGACAAGAGAACCCACATCTAAACACTGCAGGCTGCAGGTCAAACCATTCCACTAGGAGCGTTCTCCTTTTTTCATAAAAAAAAAAAAAAAAAAAAAAAGCAAAAAAATGGAGGGAATGATGAGCAGCGACAGTGAGAGAGTTAGAAGAACAAGTCCTGTCAGTCCTCAGACATCAGCCGGTGGAAATGGTCCTTCCTCTTCTTCAGCACCTCCCGAAAATCCTCCTGAAAAAACAAAGCAGGAGATATTCACTCAGAACCATGAAAGTGGGGAGAGAGGGGAGAGAGCGGGGAAGATACTGCTGCAGATAAGCAGCTGTTTTACTCACAAGTCAGTGAAAGTAAAATGGCTACAAGTAAAAACAGATTTTTAAACTGCAGAAATAAAATGACTTAATCCTGATGACACAATCTGATGACAAAAAATCTGACTTTTTATTTAATAATTAATAACTAAAAAAAAAATCTGACTTTTTATTTAGAAATTAATAACATAATAACGCAAGTGTGCGTTTGTGTGTGTGTGAGCAGGGAGATGAAATAGATAAGGAGTGTGAGGATGTGACAGACGTACCGCCGCAGACAGTTTCTCCATGTAAGGGATGAGTTTCAGCAGCTCTTTGTCCTCGACTCCACCAGACCAGCTCTGGATGGGAATCGTGTTCATCAGCTGTGAAAACAACAGACACTTCTGTAAAATGATGTTTCCATCATGTCACTGCAGCATGAACGTGGGACAAAACACACACACACACACACACAGAGAAAACACTGCGGCTGGTAACAAGCAGAGTTGAGCAGACTGAAATTATTATTCCCCTCATGGAGTTTCACTGTTGTTGCAACAGGTTTTAAACACGTCGTTGAGCTCAGACGGTTCAGTGAAATCGTTGGTGTTCCCAGCTGCAGAGACGTTGGTTCACTTCCTCGTTTTCTCTCCACTTTAGGCTCATTTACCAAGGCAGAGCACAAAGAACTTTGTACTTTTGAATGTTTTCACGTACAATTTGACTCTAATTAAAGTCTCTGAATTGATCAAAGAGTTGAGAGAGTGGGAATGAAAAGGTCATAAAAAAGGTTCAATAATAACCAGTTAAACTCGTAAAATAATAATGAAACAGATTTATCAGACAGTATTCTATCTATCAAAAAACAGGGAGGCTAAGTTTCACATTGAAATTGATGTTTCCCAAAATAAGGGGCATGGAGCTTTTGGAGGTAGGGCAGAGTAGGACAAAAAAAGATCTCAATTTCATTTTAAAACTTTCAAAAGTTTCCAGACCTGTCACCTACTGAATATTTCTGGACAAAACTGAAGAGGAGAATCTGACAGTGACTACATACTGGTGAACAGTTCAGGTCTTATAACAGCAACAATAGATTTTAAAAAGACTACATACTGGTGAACAGTTCAGGTCGTAAAACAGCAACAATAGATACAAAAAATATCTATTCACAGTGAATCAGTGGTTAATATCTCAGAGACAATACAAATATTTTGGCACAAACACAGAGGATGTTCCTCAGCAGGGTCCAGCCTCAGCTGAATACACACACACACACACACACACACACAGCATGGCCGGGCTCATCAGCAGTAACCGTTTTGAAAGCCTGTGTCGCTACAAACTTACATAACAAGCTGTGTGTACGTTCATGGGAGATTATTTTATTTAAAAAAAAAAAAAAAAAACACACTTCTTGATGTGGGTGAGCTGTTGGCTGTGAGTCTCTGCCAATTGTTCACTTCCCATAGGTGGCCACATGTGTAAACAACAGCCGCTGACATGGAGCAGACGGGTGTTAGGGATGTGGCGTCAGGACCATTTGCATTCTGGGTGTTTAATGTGTGTTTATCCTTCATGACGATTCAATCTACAGAGAGGATTCTACACAACTGCTGCTGAAACACACTCCTGTCCTTTCAGCTTCTGTGTCTCTGCAGATCTACGTGGACCTCACACCAACAGGGGCCTCTCTGGAATCCACTGTAGTGACAGAGACTTTCAAACCAGCTTCTTCCCTTTGTATGACAAACTAGGGCGACGAGAATGAGGAAAGAGCTCAGCACCTTTAATGGAATTTAATTATGGTGACACCGCCGGTTGGTGCCGACACTTCAGTAACTTAATGCTTAACTATCTCAAACAGCCGGCCTGACTCAAAGTATCAACCCGTGGTTCTCAAACCGATCACACTAATAGTACTTCAGAATATGAAGTTTTCAAAGTACCAACAGTAAAACACAGCAGCGCAGACCCACGCTTTTCAGGAAAGACCAGTAAATAAACAACCTTTATTCCTAAATAGGAATAAAATAAAAAAGAATTGATAAAAAAAAAGATAAATATGTCATTACTTTCATAATTAAAATCGAAAAAAAAAAAAAAGACAACTGTGCCTCAGCTCTTACATGATAAGGGTATGTGTGTGGCGCGTTGTCCAGAACCGCTGTCTTGGCGAGATCCCTGCCCAGGATGCTGAGATCTTTGATGTAGTGACCGAGGACGCAGGCGCAGTCCTCCTGATACAGACGGTGCCTGGACACAGACATGAGGACAGAGGTCAATTTCAGTGACATCACTGACAGAGGAACGAGTGTCAGTTAAACACAAAGTGACTAACTATGCACTGCAGGAATTACTGCTCACTAGCACCACCCACAGGTGACACTCGCTGCCTTGTGAGCATTGGCAGAAAGCTGAACAAAACAAAACAAGCAGATAGTTTATAAACACAAGTGGACAGAAACTTGGTTAAAAACTGACCGGAACAGTTTCCTCTGTGGGTCCAGAACGTCCAGTATCTTCTCGGCGTATTCCTTCTTGGCACATGTGTAGACAAACAGCTGCAACAGAACACAAACGGCAGCTGGAATCAAACTCAACACCGCAAAAAAGAAAGATGTTTTATGGAGATAAAATAAAATGGCAGATGTTTTAAAATTGAATACTATTTTTTTTAAACATATATATAAAATATACACCTCATAAAGCTTTGCCATGGACTGAAGAAACTCCTGCACATGTGGTCGCAGGATCATGTAAACCTGTTAAGACTAACAACAAAAAAAGACAGGTAAACAACAGTAGTCCTCAATATTTTCTATATAATCTCATGTCGGTTGAGCTTTTAACTTGATCAAATTTTATGTTAAACATCATTATTTATTATTTAGACATTTTGCATTCTGAGTCCTCATGTGTTTGTGCCCAAACGCAAGAGTTTTCAGTAAGTTTTCACCTTGTACTGATGGTCCTGAAACGCTGTGTGGAAGGTGAACTCTGCATCCTCGATCACACTCAGAGAGCTGAACATCAGAGTCTCCTCCTGGAAGAGCACAGAGGTCAATGATTAGCTGTGGTGTTTTCCCACACATAACTCTTTATAAAGTCCTCCTGAACACCAACACCCTCTGTCTTCTGGGGTCGGAACTGACGCCATCTTGTTCTGAATGTTATTTAAAATACAGTGTTGAAATTTTCAATTCTATTATACTTTTAGTCCAACTTTGGTCCAATGCATTTCCATAAAAAAGTTCCTCCTTCTTGAGAATTCAGGGCCAACAGATTGTTTACATATAGTACTACTACAAAAAGTAGAAATTTAATTTGGGGTCAAAATGACCTCATGGACAACTCAAGGGTTGAAATGATATTGTTTAAAAATACCTTCACATAAATTTATTAGTATTATGTTGTGAGAGCTTGTGCTAAACGCAGTTATTATACTGTACGTCTCTTACACAGAATAAATATGTCCTCTCACATCCTCTTCGGCTTATTTGGGTTATAACATTAGATGATATTCTCTTTGTTTTGACAGATTTTTTGGTGTGTTAGTTTTGTGATGGCGGTTTGTGTTTGTGAGTGCATAAATGCAGCATTACATCATCAGCGTTTCTCCCCGTCTCAGTGCCTGATGCTGACTCAGTTATTAGAGACTAATAAAACTTTATTATATTACGAGGCGTGGATTCAAATGCAAAAAACAAAACAACTGTTTTAGGCATAAAATATTTGGTGTGACTTAGGTTTAACTGTCAGTTGCAATTAAAAACTTAGAAGAGCAGCTGGATTTGCTGTGAATCCAGCAGCTGTCAGGTTTTATTTTTTTTTCCCATTCAATTGATGACTAAATACATCCAAACCAGATGAGATAAATGACCTCCTAAAACAAAGATATTTCAATGTTTTCAACCTGACACAATGTAGCCTGAAGTAAAACGTGTTCTTCCCAGTATCTGGATCAGGCAACAGAATATAACATCATTACAAAGGGAGAAAAGAAGAATTAAAATCAAGATGTGGATAAAAACCTTCACTGTGTTTGACAACTTTAACAAAAACACTGTTTTTAGGCATTGACACCAACAACACTGCTGCTGCTACTAACAGCATGTTTAACATGAAAGGAGGTTTATATAATACAGAAGAAATTAAAATGAACTTCAGATTGTTAGAAATATAAAAAGACCATTTCTTGTTGCACGTGCTGCTGCTGCTACGCTCCACAACCATAAACTCCGTGTCATTTACAAACATTTATTACTGAAAACCAAAGAGCCATCCACTCACCAGATCAACCACCAGGGTGGGCTCTGGGGTGCTTCGAGTTTTAGGCGGAATATCTAGATGTTGAGTCTGACAATGTTGCGACTGTGACGGTATGTTCTTGATGAAGGTGAACCTAAGGGCACAATAAAAATATTTTGAGAATTCAAACTTTAATTAGTAACATATGTTCATAGACATAGTCGACTAACAACTGTTCATTGGGTCCTGAAAACATTTTAAAGTCAAAGTTAAACAACTGTAACTCCTCTGTAAACAGACGTGACACAGTCTGCTGTGTGGACAAAGTCGCACTGACAACAGGAGACATTTACTCACGGATTGAAACCGTCTTCATCTTCATCTCCGACCAGAAGATCAATGGAGCCGTAACCAAACACACCTTGTTCTGGGCTCATTAAAATGTTACTCTTCCGTGCGCACTTCATATCTGGACACACACAAACACATAAAGCACAAACTGTAATAATGGGGCTCATTAAAATGTTACTCTTCCGTGCACACTTCATATCTGGACACACAAAAACACACAAAGCACAAACTGTAACAATGGAACTTTGTTAAAAAAATATGTTTGAAAAAAAAGTAGTTTGTAATATTTAGTAAAACCAACAACAACATACATCTGAGCATGAGGACCATTCGTTCACAGTTTAACTAATTTAAGAGCACAATCTGTTGGTTCAAACTGAATCGGACTTAAACGTAACTCAATTACCTGTTAAATAAGATGAAAAGTGAAAATCTGAGTTCGCCACATATTACAGTTTACACTAACATCAAGTCTTTGATATTAGGTACATTATTGCTGCAGTCCACTTATTATTTTGTACGGGAACAACACCTGCACTTACTCTCTTTGCTTGGCGTGAGGAAACGCACAATGGGTGAGTAGATGTTTCTGGACGTTGAAGTCACTGGAGTCATCTGGTTGATCTCAGCCAGTATTCGATTCTGCCGCATGATGGACCTAACAGGAGTCTTGAAGGCCAAATCTAAGCACGTGGGCGAACAGTGAATAAAGAAAAAAAAAAAAATCAAACTAAAAGCAAAACAACAGGAACATTTCTGAGTCAGTTTAGAGTGAGAGCTTTAGATATATAGATAACAAAAACTAACCCGTTTCTTCTTCACTGGCAGCAATGGCTCTTTTCCTGGCTCTGCGAGGACGTCGTCGCCGAGTCATCATGGGAACTTCATCGTCTGAATGTGGGGACTCATCATTAGAAGACTCTAGGACCTTGAGAGGAAAAAGACAAATACATGACAAAAAAAAGAATAAAAACAAAGCAATGTATTTGAATGCTTGTCTATTGTGATCCTTTGGATTAAAGTGAAGAAGCTTTCATTAGGAAACAAAATACAACGTTTTTCCCCTCTCTCCTCTTGCATCAAAATCATCAAACATTTTTCTACCACTGTGTAAAATATGGTCTTTACCAAAGTGCAAGTCTCTAAATGCAAAAAGGACACAAAGATAATAGACACAGGAAACAAAGATTCTAACACAGATTTCAGTCTTAGTTGACATAGTTGTTAACAAATCTGCTACAACCAAAACCAAAAATATAAACCATATCCAGGTCAGAAGTCAAACTACTTTAAACAAGATTACATGTACATGTGCATCAGTGACCTACTTTTATCTGACCAGCGTGTGAATGGTTGATGTAATCCCTTGCTTTAAAGCTTCAGTCTGACAACGCATCACTACACTACATAGTTTTAACCCACCTACACACACACACGCAATCCAGAGCAGTCACTCTTGGTTTGGGTGATAACACATTTTTATACTCTTTCATGTATGATTTCATTAGTGGCTCTACAACTGTGTAACACTTCTATATGTTTGTTTTGTTTATAGGACCATGTGTGACCTACTATAATACAGATTATCATACTCCATCTATAAATAAAAGAGAATGAAACAAAAATTATAAGCCAATAAGTCTGGTGGTCTGTATGACCCCCATATACTGTACTTGTGGAGATCACGTCTTAGCATTTGACTCCATAGGTTGTAGTGTTGTTAACTTCTTAATTAGCTCAGCCAGTGTCCAATGCTAACACTGCTCTGTTGCGACCAAAGTTTATATCCTAACCGTAATCTGAAAACAAACATAAGGTTCAGTCTATTTAAAACGATGCTGAATATACACATTTTCACGAGTATAATATATAGGCCTTGGGGCCGTTTTCTGTTTCGACTCTGTTCCTTCACAACAACAGCGAACTCGCGTTAGCTTAGCCGTGGCTTTTGAGCTACGTTTCCATTGTTTTCAAACGGAAACACTGGTTAACATCGTCCAGCTAACTAGTATGACGACAGCCAGGCATGCGACTCTGCACCTGAATATATAATTAAAAAAAAAAAATTTGTGACCAACAGACCACTAACCATTGCCCACCAGAGATTTAAATAGATAAACATGATCATCACAGGGTGGCTCGTTACCTTGGTTTGAAGCGGGCTGTCGGTTGACAACAGGCTTCTTCGTCTCCGCGTCGCCTTGATGCTTCTCGGCGTATCCGAACACGTCGTAGCCGTTTTCCCAGACCGCAGTCTCATTTTCCCACTTTATATTTGTTTCTGAAAAGAGTTGAAACGCAAAAACCATCACTAGTTAAACTGTTGTTATGAACTGGAATATTTTTTTACGACCTCGAAACACTAGGTCGAAAAATTGACTCCGCCCGCCCCGCTCAGACCCGGCTCTTCTCGAATCACTCAATGTGTTTAAATCTGCCGGGGTGTGATAGGTTCACCATTAGTGGGCGGTGCTTCGTCGAATTCAAGCTTCCACGTGAGACGGGAATCACGTTGCAGTCTCCGTTGATGAGAGTTGTTGCGCTGAAAGCAGAGTATGACATTTTCTCGTAAATAAACTATATATTTATATATATATATATATGAAAACAAACATCTGTCTGCAACGTTTCTCAAAAGGTTTCGAGAAAGTAGAGAACAGTTTTACGCAAATATCCTATATTTTTGCAGTATGTGTAGCGTCGATATGGCCACAGGGTGGTGTAGTAGTGCTGACCTTAGTGCCCATCGCACGTCTTGACATTGAAATGGGGTCAGAGGTTTTCACTATCTAAACTTACCTATAGCAAAACTAAAATGTGTAAAGAGTCAAGCGGGTGTGGTGATTTGTGGTGATTTTTTGCAGCACAGTTTAATGATGACTCTTTCTACGACTGAAATAAATCTCCCAAACCTCTGCTTACATTAAAGAAATGAGATATTTTATTAATTTCAGATTCAAAATAATAGTATTCACACAAACACATACTGGGTAAATATATATGTGTAGAAGAACAGCTCATCACCCTTCAAAAACAAAAAAACAACATAACAGAGAATGAAAAAAAAAAAAAAAAGAAAACATTTGCATTGCCCGCTGCCACTTTACTGATACCGTGGTGTCCGGGGAAACATCCCATTCATCAAAATAGTAATCATTTATAGGAAAAGAAGGAATAAACACACACAAACAGAACAGACTGAAGACAAAACCACCTGCTGGACTAACAGTGTTACTGGAGGCAGTACTGTTGTCGTACAAAAAAAAAAAAGTATTTTGCTGAAAAGCACGAGGTTTCCGGTTGTTGGTGCGTAAATAAACTGACCAGCTCAAGCTGTGAAGAAAGTGCAACACAGAGAGACGCAGAAAGATGAGAGGAAGACATGGTGATGTCCAAAATGAACTTTCCATTTTCGGAGGGTAATTCCCTGTGTATCCTTACCCAGCCAATATCAGGTGTTGTGCCAGATTACAACACCACACAGTTCCAACATTAAAACAATGAGTGGTAAATCTAACCCCCACATACTGGCATACTAGTATGCCAGTATCAGTGGGGTCCGTGGTCCTCGTGCCTTCTGTGTGTACACCCCACACTTTAACTTGAGCCCTGACTGGGTTAAATGCATCAAACTAGAGGCAGAGGTAGATTTTCCTGAGAAGTCGTAAGAGACAAAAACAGAGTCTTGTTTCAGTTCTGAAGTTAACATACGGTATGATATGATGTGCATCTCTTACTCACATACACACACACACACAAACACACTGCATCACACACTTCCCTAAACTAATCACATTTATCATCATGATTATCATTATTATAATAATAATAAATCTGCTCTAAATGCAATCTCTGTGTGCCACTGTTGCTATAGAATATAAGAGCAAAAAGACAGCAAAGAAAAAAAACAAACAAAAAACACAATATAAACATATTAAAATCCACAGCCCTAAGCCATAATTTCAGAAATTGTCTACTCAATGAATCTTACCAACCAGGTTAATTCATACACAAATTGTCACAGCAGAAGGCATCGTGTTATTTCTCAACATCCTTTTTCCCTTCTCCACAGTCAGTCCACCAGAGAGAGGTAAAGTCCATGGTGAAGTCCAGTTAAAAGCTCACAGACACAGACACTTTAACCCGTAAATGTGATTTAAATCTGCAGCATGTGGGAACAGCAGTCGGAGTCATTCTCTCACAAAGGCGCTCTGGTATTGAGGTTATTTTCGGAGCAGGAATAAAAGCAGCAAGACATTTGGACAGACACATGCTGAGCAGAAGCTTTGAGTTTGGGAAACGTCCTCAACAGCACTTCATTTACAACATATACTACCTGGTTCTGGAACCAAAGATAAATACAATTCTTTTAAGATTTAGTCATTGTTCTGAGCTGAACAACAGCACAAGCAGTGGTCTGAAAAGAATCAAAGTTTTTAACTGCAAAACAAAACAAAACAAAAAAACAAAACAAACTCATTTTGACCAAAGCAGATACATCCAAAAGCTGCAGTAAAGCAAAGCTATGTGCTAATGTAAAAATGAAACGCCAGTTCCATGAGAGAAAAACACTCACAGACCAACATGAGTGGTAGCTATTAAGAAACACCAACCCAAACAATCCTAAGATTTTTTTACTAGGTGTGACAGAGTCAAGGTTGAAAGTTTTCAAAACATTTTTTTTATATATATTTCTGTCTTCAGATATCTACTTCCTCTAAAACCAGGGAACATGCCTGAGTACGGATGCAAAGATTCATTCAATCTTCCTTGAATGTGTCATGATTTTTTTTTAAACTCGTGCTTAATTTTAATCCATTAAAGAGCCTCGCACAATCATTTCAGTGTTCCACGACAAACGCAAAAACAATTAATTTTAACAAAATAAGGATGAGAACACTAAATATCCTGGATCAGAATCCCTCTTATTGATTGTGCATCATAACGAAAACTACCACAGGGTGGCGCTCTTGCTACAGAGGCTGAAGCTTCTCAACGATTGTCGTTAAGCTACAACTCTCTTGACATGAGTGAAATGGTGATTGTCAGTGGTCATCACACTGTCTTACTACGTCCAAGCAGAATACAGTACATTATGATTGGTTTTCCTGCAGGGACACAGTCTTTAATCTGGCCGGAGCGAACAAGAGAAAAACCTCTCATTTTTGAGATGGAGGTGAGGCTGGATTGTGGAAGAACGGTTGTCCAAGTGTTTGGAGGTAAACATTTTTGGAGGAAGTGTCTCCTGATTGTCGTTACCACGCAAACCATCCCTGAAGATGCTGCCATGCAGCGAGAGAGAGAGAGAGAGCTGCAGTACCTCCACTATTCAAATGCAAATACACGAGCAACGCCGAGTCAATAGGTAAGCGATAAACATGGATCTGCTGAAGAAGAGGGGGCAGGGGCTGCAGAGTTGCCTCGGGGGGCTAAAGGGTCACGGGGTCAAATCTAAAGACGAAATGTTGATCCCACAGAGTTGGATTGATTGAGTTTTGCTTTCTTTCAAAGACCCCGGTGCTTATTTGATTGTCAGCCTTTAAAGGCAACTGTGACATCTGCCGCCCATGAGAGGGGAAGGAAACACGAGGCCCTCTGTACAGACTAACTACGACACCGGCACATATGGCCCTGGTTTTTCTACTATGTGACCTTTTCAGCGTGTGTGTTTCAGTGTAAATTAGTTTGCAGTGGTTTTCCAGTTAGTTTTGTAAACTGTTAATATTTGTACTGATGCAGAATCAGTATTTGTATCTTCCTGCAGACAGAAACCTGTAGTCTTGCGCTGCCGTTGGGTTTTGTGGGCTTCTCAGACAGACCACTACATGTTTCACTCATGCCTACTAAAGGTTAAACCTTTGTGACGTAGGTTGTTCATTTCCACATAAAGAACACGGAGGTGAAATTAAGAGACGAGACACTTTTATCCTCCTTCGTTGTCTGTCACACATATAATACACACCAGCTCTAGTCATTTATCTGGCTTAAGTTCCACTCAGTAGCATTCACTGTTGTTTGAACAAGGACATTGAGTGCCACCGATGCAAAGCAAATAAAATCAGGCCCAGTGCTGAGTCACGACAGCAGCAGCACACACACACACACACACACACACCAGCAGCAGCAGCAGCAGGTGCACATGAGTCTGAGCGACCAGGTCCAGGTGGATAATTGTTAATGAATGTAAATGATTGCAATTGCATTGTTTAACATATAAAAACAACATGTTGCTGACTTGGCCTTCCACTGTATAACTTGATTTGTAACAGCTCAGCTCCCTCCCTGCAGGAAAGGTTCAAGGATCAGTTAAAACAAAGCCAACAGTCGGTGACCGCTGTGGGTTAATGAGAAACACTCCTGCTTTTTTTAATGCATCTGTGAGAGGCACTCAGTAGTTCTGTGATTATGTTGTGATTAATCAGTGATACAGATGAAACATCCAAAAAGACTCAAGTTAGAAACTCTATCATTTAGGTACAGCCGAGTTTCCAAGCCTTGTGTGGTTTGAACACTAGCTACAGGGTGTCCTCATTTTGCCGAGGTAGAGCTTTTTCCACTGAGGGACAGGCGTGGTTCGTGTGGCATACGGAGGTACTGCTCACTCTCTGCTCATTTCACGCTGCATTAAGGCCTCACGACAAAAACCCACAGACAAAGCCTGATTTGTCTCCTAACGTCTCTTAGGAATGAGGCTGCTTTGTGTAGAGGTGAGGTTGAGTCTGAGTAACAATCTTTACGGGTTAAGTACAGGTTAAAGTGAAAGAAACTGAAAGATTGAGTGACAGGTACCACTCTACGACGCAAGAGGTGATATGTTGTATCTGCTGTGACTGAATAATTCACTTTTTTATAAACGGGGGGAAAGTGTTCAGCCACAGGTTTGATTATCTCAGATCTAAAGCCATGAAAATCCTTGATTAAGCAAAAACATTTTTAAACAGTTAAAATCTCTAGACCATCTGTCTGTGTCCCCAGAGGACACCTTTCTCACCACAGCCCAGGATAAGAAGCACTTGGATCCGGCTAAGCACTACAGTAATTCATGCAAAAAAACAAAGCTGGGGAAAAAAACAAAAGCCTTTGTCATGTATGATACAAGAGATATGATAAGAAGAGTTCACGCTGCATCCCCTGACGCCTGATTGTCCATGTTTGTGTCTCCACAATCACAAGGATTTAGCAGATGCTTATTTCCTAGCACAGGAAACTGAGAGTCTGCTGTGTGATGAGAGCTTTAATCTACAATTACTCGCATGCGTCTGATTTCAAAACAAACGATTAATTTAAAGGCCGAGAGTTTTTAAAGGATATTAACTTATCTTTGGGGGAAAGAGAATTAAACGCCTTTTTTCACCTATTAAGTGTAAATAATGTCTGCATAATGAGCATAACGAGAGAGAGACCTGAGAACAACGATAAACAAGGTATTCACATAAAATCTTAAACTCAAAACGGCAGCAGGAAAGGTTGGTGTGGACACCACTGAAGTCCAGCGTGTAACAAAAGGCGTCAATTCATTTTTCCATCTTATCAAAAAACAGCCATTTGGAACACTGAGCTTGATAATTCACCTGCATGTACTGTACAAACAGGTAAGAGTTTCAACAGTACAGCTAGCTGAAATTAGGAAAATGAGGAAGCGCCCCCACGTAAGTGCACAGACGCAGCAGGAAGCTGAGCTGCTTCCTCAGATATCTTCATTATTCAGAATCATTCATGCAAATATATGGAGATCCACGTGTTTTATGTTGGGTGACCGTAAGGTTTTGGTAGGTTCGCACCGATCGCTCTTCCACAGAGAAACAAACTGGCTGCCACGTGAATAAGGTTCTTATACACAAAATGAGGTCACAGCGGTACATTGTTATATGCCCTGAAGAAACAATATATACCTTTAAAGCTATTCTGATTAAAAATAGAGAATATTAATATTGTCTTTTTTTTATAGAATTCTAAATATATAAACTTTTTTTTCTCCTGCAGTGGGAAGATTATTAACGATTTAAATGATTAACACAATAGAGAACAATAATAATATCGATGTCATCGAAAAGATCAAATAAAATAAACAAAATCTTGAGAAAAAAAACGTTACTGTCAGTCAGTAGCTGTGTTTGTGTGTAAAAAAAAAAAAGTTTGTTGTTGCCCTTTCTAAATATTGTTTTCTCCTTTGTTCCCTGATAAGCTGTACATTTTTGCATAAATAAATAACTGACTGATGTGCATTGTTGAGCATATACTGACTCTTAGTTAGGACTTTTTGTTTCCAGAGTTATTTTGGCTACGAAAAACAAAAGAGGTGAGTTTGTAAGTGAAGAAACCTGAGATAGTGTACTTCAAGTGATCCGAGTTTACGGTTGCATCTTCCTGCGCCATTTCTGGGGTCTTCTCTTTTTTTTGGCATCAGCGAGTAGAAAATGATGTTTGTTTTTGGCTTGACTTAGCATGGTAATTAAAAAAAACAAACAACGAATGAAGCAGAGAGTCTGGAGGTTTACGAAGACACAGAGTTGTTGGAGGTTGAGGTAGGTGTGTTTTGCTGCTGCTGCTGCTGCTGCTGCTGAGGAGGAGGAGCATGAGCACCGGCAGGTGTGTGGGAGAGAGACAATCCAGACACAGCAGACGAGGTTGCCCCTGTCGCTGCCTGAGCAAAAAGTACGCCTGGCAGGAAAAAGAAACAATTAATACAAAACACTACAGGACAACAATTAGGCCTTTTGGACAAACAACTAGCTTAAACCACTAACGACTAACAACATGACATGTACACAAAAACAAGTCCCTAATAACATCTTTATTCCTACATAATTACTAACATTTTAATATAAATTCAGTCTGTGACACGACAACAATCCTCACCAGTGTACATGACGCCGTTGAGCTCCACAGACATGCTGATGCTGCCTGTCCCGTTAGTAGTGAGGTTGAGAGCCGAGTCCTGTCTGCTATCTGCTGGGAAGACGGGAGGAGCAGAGAGTAGGGTTAGGTTTGTTTGTGTTTGGTCTCAAAATCATGTTTGCGTTGAGCATTTTATTCACCAACAACATCATTTAGTCCTCAATGTCTCCTAGTTGCTGTTGACTGTCACAGAGGAGCAAATGTTTTGAACTGCCTGTATGACCTTCACCGTACAGTGAAGGTCAAGATAATACAAAGCTTTTTGATCAATCTTACAAGAATGGCTAAAGCTTTTATTAATACGTTTAAAATTTTAAGAATTTAAGGGTTTGTTGGCCAGAAGTGGGGCACGGGTCTACAGTTTGAGACCCAAGATTTCACTTTAACAAGCAATTAAAAATTTGTTTTTAATTTGATTTCACGTTGTTTTTATAATTTCACCGACACTAATATTTAGACCTCATTTAGTTTAGTTAGTGGTCGTTACGTTTTACAAGCTGTTTAATTCCCTAACATTAAACATATTGATTCTTGTGTCTTTGAACGTGTTTTACAAGACATACCTTTTTACAACCTAAGGTTCGGTGTTAGACTACCGTACTCTGGGGTATTTCAAACAACAATAACTGGGATCAACAGTAATATTTCTTACTTCTTACTATTACTTTCAAGTATGTAGGGTTAGACATTCTCTAAAGACACCAAAAAATTGCATGTTCTAATCCGATGCGCCTACACTTTAGAATTCCCCTTTCTGTCGAATACACACACACACACACACACACACTATGACAGTGTAAATGTATGGGGTTCCTATATGATAAAAACAGTTCAACATATAGGGCTGCTTTAGGTTACCTTCCTACTGTTGGGTGTTGTGGTTTGTGACACAATTACTGGGAAGTGTTAAGATAACAACTGCCAGGAAGAGAATGAATGTGAAAAAAACCACAAAATGTGAAATGAATAAGATCGCTGCAGCAGATGTGATGAAGTCCTAATCAAAGATAAAAATCACCAGCTGCGTATTTCATTCAAACACAAACTGTGAAAGAAACATCAGACAAAAAGATGTGATTTATTGTCATTTGTGTGAAGTACCTTGGTTGTTGATGCGGATGTTCATGGGGATCTGGGCAGTCATGGCCAGCAGGTTGTGCTGCAAAGCTCTTTGCAGTAGTCTGTGGTGTTCCTCGGCCGGCAGTGCCATCTTCTTCTCTGGAGGTTCTCCAGCCTCCAGCTTGTCCCTCAGATGCTCCAGAGCTGCCACCTGAGCCGCCATGGCCGCCTGAGCTGCCGCTGCCTGCACGGCAGCTACCGAGTGACCCGCCAGCGCCCCCACAGGTAGACGAGGCATACCGAGGCCAGGCAGTGGCTGACCTCCCTCCTCTTCATGCCAAAAACACAGACGAAAAGTGAGTTCCAGGTGTGCACTGACAACACCACAGCTGGTTTGACTTAACATACTTAGTAGTGGACCCTTTGGCTGGGAACCCACAGACAATACTACAACATATGTAAAAAAATACTTTTCTTACTTTTATTCACTATTCAATAATCTTCCACTATTCAATAATTACATTTGTTTAGCATGAGAAAATGATTAACGAACAAGCGATAACTGGGCGCAAACTGCCAGGTCACAGATTATGATGTCATCATGCAGAGGTTGCAGCTGTTATATGAGGTGCATTCAGGTACCATTGGAAACTTGAAAATCCAGACAATTATGGCAGTTTACATGTTGTCTGTTCAGGACAAATGGTTATAAAAGAAAACAATAATAACTTTTACTTTTTTGCTTTTCTTCCCTCCAATTTTCTGAGGACCTCTTAGCACCCCTTTGCAGCCATCAAGAGGGCCGTGTCCCTCACTTTAAAACACCACTAACCTGATCAATGACAATATGACTGATTCAAACGCAGATGACAGTGTTCCACTGTCGCTGAAGACTCGGTGAGTCATCGTGGCTCACAGTGATGCAGTAATGTCTATAGGCATTCTATGTTTTTTTTTTTACTTGATAAATCATATACTTTAATGTAAGCTTCAAACAGCCATTTAGATTTTTTGGTTTTTAAAAAAAAGCATGATTTAAAAATTTCAATCAACCTTTGGAATGAGTGAAGCCAGCTGAGCACTCAGTCGAGCACTCCATGTGTTGCAGCCACAGATTAATGTTTAATGGCTTCTTTAATTTTATGGGCATCGTTTGTTGTGCATTATGCTCCACAATGTTTTGACACGCATGTTGATTCCTGCCACATTGTTGAAAGTAAATTGCGGTTGAACCTCAAATAATAGAACAACATCTCCCTAATGGCTATGAGAGAAGCCATTAAAGTGATAACTTCGTAAAAGCATCTTCAACGAAATCAATTGTTAATTAGTAAAAGTAGGTAATGAGTTTCCAAACAATGAAATAACGTTTTCCCTCTTTTCATCAAGATTTCTCAAGAACAAATTTCACCTTTTTTGATTTTCTGGATAGGGGTCATTGAGGCACCGTTGGTGGCCACTGTCAGGCCCACACCTGATGTGGGGATCTTGGGTGAGGACAGCATGGTGGGCGTTCCATTGGGTGAGTAGGTGAAAAGCGAACTCCCGAAGCTCTGTCGTCGACCCTCTCTCCGGTTACTGTCGATGGCTGCCTGGAGCTCGTTGGGGTTGCTCAGACCCCTCTTATCACATTCGTATGGGTACAGGTACTTCATGTATCTAAAAGAAGAACAGTCAATATAAAACAAAATCCTTAAAAATGTACCATATGATAATATATAATAATCCTCTCATTAATGTAAAAAAACAGGGTATTTGTTGGCACAATTATAATGTAATAGTGATATATACTGCACCAATTGTTAGGCCTGCATGTTTAAACTCGCAAATCCTTTCCTCATCTTGGGTTTGAATTCATAATTCACATTGATCAAAACACCTCACAGTTTTATGAAAGACTATGTGACAGACAAAGTGTGTGTGTGTGTGTGAGTGTGTGTGTGTATACTGACTGTGTGCGAAGGGTGAAGGCTGCGCTGGTGATTGAGGTAGGCAGGTTGAGTCCCTTGGTGATCTCCCTCCACAGCTTTTTGTTGATGACCTCCACCAGACCACCCTTCTCCGTCACCAGCCTGTAGAGCATATACAGATCCAAGACCTGTTTGGCCATAATTGGAATTCGATTCACAGGAGTTCCTAGGAAGACACACAGAGACACGCAGTTGATGGTAAAGTCTGGTGGATTTCCAAGAAAAAGATGAAAGAAACTATGACAGAGATCAGAGCACCTTATAGCAAAAACAAAATCTCCCTTTTTTGAACCTACAGCAGGAAGTATACTGTTCTGTGTCCACAGAGAAAAGACATTAGGGTTCAGTAGGTGGCGTTTGAGCAACTTTAAACAAGATCAGGAAGTTCATCTAAGTTCTACATATGCATTAATGTATTTGTCTACTGCAGTTTGAAAAACTCAAGGCTGTTTTAACATGGATACGACAAGTTAACAACCAAACTCTTAATCATCATTTCTTACTGGAGTGTTAAACTTAAACTTAAAACTTAAACTTATTAATTAAACTTAATCATCATTTCTTACTGGAGTGGAAACACTGGTCATTTAAATAATTTAAATAACAAGTGATTCTAAGGTAAAAAAAAACAAAACAACTTTACTTTGGCCTACAAGGAAAAAAAAGTTGTTTCAGGTTATTATTTATCAATGTCTCCTGCAGATGGCACTATTAGTTTCTCACACAGGCCTCTGCAGACCCGCCCATCCACTCTGATAATGTAAATAACTACAACTTGTTTTTCAGCTGTGAGCACATGCCTGCTGCGTCCCGCCCTCTGATCTCAATAAATCAGCAATGGAACAAGACCTTTTTTTTCTGGTGGTTATGGAATAATAATCTGTGAACAGCCTTCAGGCATCTGTCCTTACTGCATAGGACAAATAAAAAATCTGTCACACAATGCAAAATTATTTATGACTCTTGAGGTTTGTGCGTCACCAGGGCAAATATATATATATATATATATATATGTGTGTGTGTGTGTGTGTGTGTTTGGTAGAAGTGCAGACAGGGCAATAAGGATAGGCAACAAGATATGTACATAGAGCAATCCATTTTGGGGCAGCGATACGATGTGTACATTCTAGTAATAGACCGGGAAAGAAGAGGGGCTGAGCCCCAACGGCAATCAGCCCCTAAATGAATAAAACCCTAAGCCCATATGAATGAAAGATGAGACCAGAGAACTGTGGTGCATGTCAGGGTGAGTACAGAGATGGGCAGGTGATCATGGGCTCTCTTTACCGACTATTAAAAGCCTGTCTCTGACACCAACAGGACATTAAGTGGGTACATTAATTCTAAAAAAATAATAAACTGAGTTGGTCAAGTGTGCTGTGTTTAATTTTTGTTAAACTATAAAATTATAAACACATCTGCATGTGCCACATACCGCGTTTTTGCATGAAGCTGAAGAGGTTGTCCAAAAACTCCTTTCTCTTTGGGTCTCCGTCCAGTTCGTACAGCTGCAGGGAGGAAGGGGAGAGACATGAATTTAGACATTCTTTGTAATTTACCATGTCGTCTAACAGAAGACGAAGACAACCAGGATGACCACGTGAGACAGCAATGACAACATTTTATAACTTGTACAAATGCACTTTTTTTTTACAATAATCTCCAGTTAAAACAACATCAGATTTTTTCCCATAAGAGGAAGAAGAGAAGAAAAAGAAGTAAATCAGTGACCAGTGCGGCCTGATGAGAACCTAATGTGTGTCCAGTCGCTAACAAAGCACCAGGATCTAGAAAGTTCAGTGGGCAGTAAATGTGGGCCAATCAGTGAAGAGTAGTTATTTTTTAAGCTCAGTCTGTCGGTGTGAGAGTGTAGTCCAGCCAGGGTTTATATATGGTTATATATATATATGGTTTTATATGTAGATAATTGGTTACCAAAAGGTGGACGATTACTATATACACATTTTTTTACGACTTGTTCAGAAATTCAATGGACCAACTAGATGTTGGGAATTGATACCAAAGAATTAACAACAGACAGGTTCGCAAATGGGTCAAATTCCACTTTCTAATCAGTGAGGAATTTGGGATAGTGTGTGTTGCAGTAACGCAATCCATGTCTACAAAGTGAAACTTGGAAAGTTTGGTATTATCCTGCTATTGTTTCTGGAAAAATGTTTTGACAGAAACCATTTCCTCTAAAATTCAAACATAAGCACTAGCGGTACCTTTGAACATACAGTATCCTCTAATGGACGTCTATTAAGTCAACAGCCGCCGATTTCCCAAGTAAAACCTGAATTACTGTGATCGTGTCTTCATTTTTATTTATTCATTTCTGATCTACATTCATGTGTAACTTGTGTATTTGTGGCCATGTAGTTATAAAGCTAAAACAAAACAACCTGTGTTGTGTGAGTGTTGCAAGAGGAAACCACAAAAAACAAAGCCACGGTGACTGACATGACAGTGTTTAGGCAGCAGGCCAGGCTATTTGTTACTTTTATGTACAGACACACACACACACACACACGTGCGTAGAAAAATTTTACAACACAGGAAACCACTCACTGCCAGCACTATACTAATATTGAACACAAATATGAAGAAGAGATAAAAAAATTAATCTCTCATTAATCAAATAAAAGAACTGGAGTTTGATGATATCTTATTTCTCATTGATATGATTTGTAAAGCCAGTATTTTGCCTGATAAATTACTCAAACATTGGTTTGACAACAAAATTGCTGCCGTGTCACTGGACAGTGTCTGTTTGCTTTAGGCACCAGTTCAGAGATATGTACAGAGAAAAGCTCTCTCTCTCTCTCTCTCTTTCTCTCTCTCTCAGCTGACGTTTGGTGAGATGGTGACAACAGCGGTTTCCAACCACAAACTCTCTGTGTGCCATTCAGCCATCATTAGCAGTGCCAGGCAGCAATATGATCCTATTATAGTGGTGAGGGGGGAAACACAGGGGTGGGTACGGCCGGAGTGAAAAAGACTGAGGTGGGTGGGTCAGTGGGGGATGACAGGAATGTACAGGACCGCTGGAGGCAAGAGGGGGGAGTTTTAATTACAGGATGCATGCATTTCGTGAAGTGCTGCGCCATAAATCTCGGAAATTACACCCCCTTCCCACTTTAACTCGCCACCCCCAATCTTGTATTCCACCCCCCCCCTCCAATCACTCTCTCTGTCCTAAACACACAAACATTTTCCCAATGGTGTGGTTGGTGAGCTGTCAAGTAGAAACTATGCTAGCTTAAGCAATAAAACTAGACAGTAATGTAGATCACAGATCACGCTCTGTATCACCTCCAAAAACTCTCCGCTCCCACTGCTCACCTCCTTTTTTAATTGAATCTATAAGAACTCTTGGCATTAACAGCACACAGGATATCTCACACCAGTGACTTCAGGATTTTTCAGCTCAGCTTTTGTCCCTCTTATCTCCGACTCCAGCGGAGGCCCCTATGTCTTGCGGCTGCAGCTGCAGAAGCCCGGTTACTTGCCACTACTTGTTACTTGTAGCACTAACAGTAAATGATGTTTTTGTTTCTCTATGGAAGTCATGGCAGGTGCAAACACGTGTGGGAATGAAAGATGCTGCCTTATATTTTAACAGATTAATGTTTAACTTTTAAATAAAATGAACTCGACATTAACATGAACTAAACTCTAGCTCGGTGTGTATAAAAAATACTACCATTGAATATATCTGAAGTTATATAACAAGTATTGTTTGGTGAAAAGATGGAATTACGTGGGACGCCTTTTTGACCGGAGCCACTGACACATCATCAGCCGGTGGATCAGGATCCTGTCTAACCAGCAAGACAACAGTCTCCCACTCCACCCTATCATTACCCTCTCTTTGCCCCCCCGCACCCGCCATTGTGTTCCTTCCCTGCTCTCTGAATGCACAATTTCTTTTTTACACCGTCCCTTCATTATACACTTGTCACCATTTGTCTCCTCAACTCCATCAGTAACTCTTTTACTTTATTTTTTTTGTATAAGCCTTACATTTTAACTGCTCTGCTGCTACTGCTGCAACCTCCCACCCACATTACATACAGACCTTATCAGGCAGGGAAGGGTGTGGCTGCCACAGCATTATATATGTTTTCACGAGTGTAGAATGTGTACAGGTGCAGGGGCCCCTCTTGGATTAAAGATCTCTTATTCAGATAAACGACCAGAAACAAGATAAACGACTAAAAACTGGACCGACTGGAAACACTGGGAGCTGGGTTCCACCCCTTCATCGTGTCCACTGGAAAAAAAAAACTGTAGCCTGCAGAGCTGATCAGAAGACTACATGAGACCTGATTCTTGGATAGATTACAGAGGACTTATATTTTTCACATACATAATACTGAGAAAAATGACGAACTTTGCAGATCTAAAGTTGTTTAAAATTGAAACTGCTTTATTGTGGTATAAGAATTATAATTATGCTCAGGTAAACAAGTATTTAATAGTTTCAGGCATTTCCTGCCTAAGGCCGAATATGTAGGTCAGCGACAGTCTGTCTGCAGATAAATTAGAAAGAGCAAACAGAAGTTTTTTGTGGCAAATAATCAGTAACCAAAGAGCAGCCTGTTGCTGCAGCGTTGCAGCCCTCAGAGCAGAGGTGGTGGTGGCAGGTAATATTGTAGGGGTGGGTGTATATGTGTGCGTCTGACAGGGGGAGGGGATCTGCTCCACTGTTAATGCAAATGGCAGTTAGTGAGCCAGCGGCCTTCAAGTGTCACATAGCACATAACAGAGGCTTTTCAACTGAAAACTAAAACGGCACCGGGGTGACCAGGGTATCATTTGCTCCGTGTTCTCTTAGACATGCCAATCACCTTCAGGTGAAGCTGAGACACATGACAAAGATACAGTATACACAAACACACCAGAGGTCAATGTTGAATAAAAACCTTCGGCTCTCTGGAATGACATACGCTGAAGTGTTCTTTCTGAAACTCTGACTTAAATGGTGTCGATTATTTGGAAACTTGTCAGGAAGATGTGTGTGTGTGTGTATTTTGTTTGTGTGTGTGTGGAGGTGGGGTCTTGATACGTTAACACATGATCAGCCATATTCAAACACTGCATTGTTCCAGGCCAAGGCCTTCCTGTGAGTGTCATTAATGCACCACAGCCAACACAGCTTTGTACGCAGCGTCACTGAAATGACACAGGGGGATCGAACAATGCAGGGCATTCTTCTCATTCTTTAAAACTCATAATTATTATTTAGAACGGCTACTAAACGTCAGAGGGGGCGTGAAATAATGTATTTCTGAACATCCAGCTCTAACTTATTACTCATTGTATAGAGAACTGATGACAACTTTACATATGAGAAATGTTTTAATACACGGAAATCCTGAGGCAACGTGTCATTAGCCCATGAAGGCAGGATATCCCATTATGTGTAATAGTTAATATAAATATAGTTCCTCCCCACGTCTGTGGTGATGCGATGAGGCTGATTTGTACACAATATAATGATGTTCAGTCCAATAGTCCAAACCCAAAATGTTATATAATATTGAACTATGTAATGCCCTTCAGGGTGTGTTCACACCTGGCACATTTGGTTCAGTTAAAACCTATATCAAACAAGAGACTTCTCTTAGCATCACATGTTTGTCGCTCTATCTGACAAGCTCATTTATTTGCAGTTGTTGCGCAATCCCAAAAGAGCAGCCTTCAGAAGTAAATATAACGATTACTACATTGAGAAATGTGTCGAAAATCTTCTCTCAGATCAGACAGTGGTGCAACGTCTTCACAGAAAAATCAGAAATGCACTGATAGTCAGTCGCTGATCTTGCGAGTGTGACTACGATGTGTTGATCATCACGTTTTGGGCAGATGCTCACAGAGGTGCTCATCTCCAGAGGACAGAGAGTGCCAGCTCTTTAAAGGTAGCACAAGGCGGCATCGCCCTAATGTGTCTGCCACAACAGCACACTAGTTACACACGTCAGATAATTACTAGTCCTGAAGGCCTTCAGCCACAGTGTAGAATCTTAACCAGTTGACTTTCGGCATTCTACAATTACGCAGAGAATGTTTACTTGACCATTGCGTAACAACAATACGCAAGCGTAAATTACCATGGGATGGTCTTCCACTTGAAGGCACGTCCCAGCTAAGTGCATCACTAAACAAATGTTACCGTATACTTTGTTAATGTGCCTCATTAAGCTTTGTCTCCAGATAAATGTGGCCGCAGTGAAAACACAGCAGCCTCAGCGTAAGGAAGGAATTTCTTGGGCTGGGTTTTACATGTCAGCCTGTGATTCAATTGTAATGTGATGAATGCAGCACTTTGATAAGTGAAGCCCATTATGTGATTACACTCATCACAGCGTGGTTATAAACAGAACTGTAGCTGCAGAAGGCTGCAGGCAAACAAGACTCTTTTCTTTTCTAGGGAGGAGGAGAGTCGTAATTAGAAGGTGTAAAAGCAGATTTACACAATTTAAATTCAAATTTAAAGTCAACT